ACAGAATGAACGCATTGAACAAGAAAACAATGCAGGATAAATGTCTTTAAATTAGGTTTCAAAATACAGACTCCAACTTAAATGATGCAATGTTCTTAGGCACGCAGTTTGTGATCGAAACAAACTGCGCGATTAGGGGGCAAGGGTGGGGATCATATGCCCCCTCAACCAACTGTACCTGAATGGAATATTAGAGACAGAAACAGAAACTCTACAGAGCAATAAATAGAAGGAACAAAAATGATAATATAAATGGAGTTTTAACATATCTAAAAGATGTCACAATGGTAGCAAATACCACTCACAATGGACTGAACTTATAAAAATTTCTAATAATATATTGTTCTCCAGTACTTGTTAGTAGATTCAAAGCTACTTAATGTACAAAGAAAAGTTCTGAATCTTACACGTTTCATATGCGTAATAAAAAGTATAAAATATGTATCTGATACCCACACAAACAAAACGTCCAATCAATTCAGGGTTCATAACTAAGATTGAAAAAATTGCCCATTGAATAGGCAACCAGTATTTCCAAGTTCATTGCCAGAGTAAAAATTGGCAGTGAATTCCATCGGCTGTCATGCGGCTGAACTCTGACCAATTCACAGATTTGCAGAGTGGCTAGCCAGTGCTGCCTAGGATTCATCCATATAAGCTTCCCTATACAATAATCAAACTAATATACAGATGTATTTTAAAGAAACTGCTTTATTTTCTGCCTTAAACCTTGTTATTTATTGTGAATTTATTGCCGAGTTAGCTCATATGATAAACCATTGACCCAACACATCTAAAGATTAAATAAAACGAATAGCTTGGCATTTGTTATCAGGCTAGTGGCTATGTCACATGATTACAAGGCTTGAAATACTTCTAATTTGGGTTCAAATGAACAGAAGAGTTTGTGAAATCCAATATAACTGATCTTAATCAAATATGTTACAGTCTAAATTACACTTGCTTTTTGACTTGATATTCCTTTTAAAGGTCCCATGGAATATATTTTCAAATTTTGTAAGGTGCTTTTATAGGTACATGTAGTATCCATCCAGGAGCAGGATGAGGGGGATACCTTCAGTTTGTTGCTCCTGATGATTTTTAAATCCAGTCTCATTATAATTATTCAGAAACATATAATCATTCGGTAGATAAACAACTGAAACACTTAACGTATTCTCTGTAATTAGCGCCCAGGGCGTTTAGAAAATTGAAAATACATTATTTAGACCATTCTAATAAGCGCCCATGTATGAAAGAAATCAGAAATCCCGAGGAATTTCATGTATGGCAATTTTTCTTGACAAGAATGCATTTTCTTCAACATATTTTTATAATAATATGACAAGTGCTGTTATTGGAGAGAATACGGTAAAGATCGCTTAGACAATATTGACAGTGGTTGAAGACCCGTCTATGTCTAATTTATTTCCGGCACGCCCACTTTGTCATTATCGCCGATTACCTTCAATATTTCCACTAGAGACTGCTGGATATCGATCTTAAGTTATACATTATTTCTAATTTGATGAGAGATCATCATTATTCGTGCAAAAGTCGTGTAAAAGTCGAGAAACATTAAAAAGAAACCAGAAAGTTCACGACCTTGACATGCGCAGAACATCTGCGCAGTAGCTTTTGAAATTTCTGAATGCCGATAAAGAACAATTCCTTCATTCATTATGGATTATTATGATTCCTCGATGTTTCTTGAACTTTGTGAAGCGGGGTGGGCGCTTATTAGAGAGTGGGCGGTAATTACAGAGAATACGGTAATTCTATTTCTGTGATATTTCATGAAAAAGTTGATGGGAGAATTGGGGAACAAGACACACAGTGATAAATATCGCACTTTGAAGAGCAAACTGGCCACCATGCAATTTACCCAGCATGGCCAAAACCTAATCAGACCTTGGCACTAGTCTGCTCTTGCATCTGTAAACATTTCAAGTTGACAAGGTTAGCGGTTTTCCTGCAATTTTGATGACAAGAATTTATTTGTAGTCTTGAACTTTGGGAAAATTTAGATAACATTGTTTGTGACCTAATTTGATGACCTTCAACCTTGAAAGTGTCACTTTTTCAGACCTCAGTAGGTCTTTTGTAATTAGCTGACCTAAATTTAAATCCAAAAGATCAATTTAGAAAATCAAATTTTTGACCTTTTCAAGGCCACTGAAGGTCAACGAAAGGTCAAATCTGAAATCTAAGGTCAGATTTGAACTTCTGAGAACTTGTAGATGTTTTTAAAAAAAAAATTTGGTCAATTTGGAGCAAGTTGAAGAATTCAAAATGGCCGCCAAATTGAAAAATTCAAAATGGCCACCATGTAATTCAGCCAGCATACCCAAAACCTAATCAGATCTTGGCAATAGTCTGTTCTTGCATCTGTAAAAATTTCAAGTTGAACGGATAAGTGGTTTCCTGGAATTTTGATGACAAGATTTGTTGAAAAATTCAAAATGGCCACCACGTAGTTTACCCAGCATGCCCTTAACCTAATCAGATCTTGGCACTAGTCTGCTATTGCATGTGTAAAAGTTTCAAGTTGAACAGGTTAGCGGTTTTCTTGGAATTTTGATGACAAGAATTGATTTGTAGTCTCAAACTTTGAGAAACTTGGATAACATCATTTGTGACCTAGTTTAATGACCTTGACTTTTGACCTTGAAAATTTCACTTTTTCAGACCTCAGTAGGTGTTTTGTAATTAAGCTGACCTAAATTTAAATCCAAAATATCAATTTAGAAAATCAACTTTTTTTACCTTTTCAAGGTCACTGAAGGTGAATGAAAGGTCAAATCTGAAATCTAAGGTCAGATTTGAACTTCTGAGAACTTGTAGATGTTTTTAAAAAATAATTTGGTCAATTTGGAGCAAGTTGAAAAATTCAAAATGGCCGCCAAATTCAAAAATTCAAAATGGCCACCATGTAATTCAGCCAGCATACCCATTACCTAATTAGATCTTGGCAATAGTCTGCTCTTGCATCTGTAAAAATTTCAAGTTGAACGGATAAGTGGTTTTCCTGGAATTTTGATGACAAGATTTGTTGAAAAATCCAAAATGGCCGCCACATAGTTTACCCAGCATGCCCTTAACCTAATCAGAACTTGGTACTAGTCTGCTCTTGCATCTGTAAAAATTTCAAGTTGAACAGGTAAGCAGTTATCCTGGAAATTTGATGACAAGATTTGGTTTATGTCCCGCCCGCCCGCACGCCCAAACGCCCGCACGCCCGCACGCCCGCCCAACAGCACAAGACGAAGACAATATAGCACTTTTTCAAAGTGCGATAAAAAGGTGGAGTGAAAAAATGAATTGAAAGGAAAAGATTGATTTTTAAATTTTCCTCACATACAGGGTGGGCCAAAAAATGGTAGTAGAATTTTCTGTCTAATGGTATTTAATATTATGGTAAATATATCATTGCTTGGAATTTTCAGTAATAGCTTAAAGAAGGACCATTTTATTGATCCACCTTGTATGTGCTTAAAATATCCATCCTTGTGAAGATATTTTGAGTTTTTAAATGATCCAGGCGCTTAACATGGTGAATATGGTTATAAATGAGAGCAATTTGATGTACTTAGAATTGACCCCCTGAATAAATCTGACTGCTGTAATTATATCTCCCCTTGGATTGATTCACTTTATATAAAAAATTGTTGAGATAGACTTCATTCCTATTTCAGCTTAGGTCTTAAATTAGTATCAATCATGTAAATTATTCAACAGCCAATGTGCACTACGAATAGCAAATACATGTACTGACCAGATAAGAGCCAGAGGCAGAGATATTGTTGAACATAAGGCATTATTAACAAGGCATTAACATCTACTTCTGATGGTGACATAAAAATGATGACAGGTGTAACAGCACATCAGCTTTTATACAACGACATCTCCATCAAGTAAAGAATCCAATTCAGCAGTAATCCCCCAATATTGATGAAACTTAGTCCTGCCCTAGGTTGAGAATTTTAAAATCTATTTGCACCTCGTTGAGAATTTGAAAAAATGCAAAGAATATTTTGTTGAAGATTTACTAGTCAGAAGACTAGTATTCCTTGGGATCCGTGGAAAATCCTTGGAAACTCTGCAAGCTTACACATATATTGACCTCAATACTAAGATATAAGTTGAACCATTCAAGGTAGACACATGTTTGATTTCAACAACTTAACTTAGCATTACTCATTTCAATGTAGAGTCAAAACTGAGTCATTGTTGTCAAAGGAATCTTAATCTCCTTTCCAAGACTGTAATTTGAGAATGTCACAAATGTCTCACTTGCGAATTATCAAAGCCTAAGTGTTCAATTCGATATCCTTGGATTTTTCTGTATTAAATACAATAAAACCTGTCTATCCAAACACCACTGCTATTAGCTAAAAGAGTTTGGATTCGCATGTGTTCACATTTTGAGTTTTTTATCAGGTCAAACAGCACTCTCTGTTAAAATCTACACAATCAGGTAAAAAATCATGTATTTCAAAGCGAAGGCTCTATCTTCAGCTGCAAGTCCATTGACCTAGCTTATTCTTGATAGTATGTTTACCAAGTGGAATGTGTTTCACATCATCTGTGTTTTTAGGATACTGACATATGTCTACTTTTGTCTAGGTTGTTCATGAGACTTGAGATAAGGTGACTTCAGTTATGGGTGAATATGGTAGATAAATATGTGATTCGACTTAATAGATCATGAACAGATAGGATAAGTGTTGTAAATTGTGATTTAGATGCAGTTTTATGACCTACCTGTATGTGATTTTTACCAGAAAGTGCGATTTTTTACTGGATTGTGCAGAATTTACCGAAGAGTGCTGTTTGACCAATACCTGGTATCTGACGATAAAAAAATAAGACAGAAAAAAGTGTTCACATTGAGAGGTGTTCATATTGTAGAGGTGTTCAGATATACAAGTTTTACTGTACTTTTACTTCACTCGTAAAATATGAATTGACTATAACATAAAAAAAGAAAAAAAAATTACCTGTATTAACAAGGAAAACTGTTCTTTTTCCGTTGTTTGCGAAAGGTTGTCGCACCTCATGAGCCAGTTCTTTGATTAGCATCACGCCAATGAAAGTCTTCCCAGAGCCATTTCCCAGGCACACTATTGTGTTCCTCTGTATGGCTGCATCCAATAGCTCCTCCTGGAGATGAATTATTTTTAATAAGGTTTGTATTTCAATTCATAAAAGCATACAATTCAGGTACAGTAATCATAAACACATTGTCTATTATAGATATACTACATAGATATACATGTACAAATATAAAAATAGCATTTTCCATTAATTTGGATAACAGAACTTTTTCACTATATGTTACATTATCAGCCTCATACTCAATCATCGAGCTTCATAGATGTCACATTATCAGCCTCATAGTCAATCATCGAGGTTCATAGATGTTACATTATCAGCCTCATACTCAATCATCGAGCATCATAGATGTCACATTATCAGCCTCATACTCGATCATCGAGCTTCAGAGATGTCACATTATCAGCCTCATACTCGATCATCGATCTTCATAGATGTCACATTATCAGCCTCATTCTCAATCATCGAGCTTCAGAGATGTCACATTATCAGCCTCATAGTCAATCATCGAGGTTCATAGATGTCACATTATCAGCCTCATACTCAATCATCGAGCTTCAGAGATGTCACATTATCAGCCTCATACTCGATCATCGAGCTTCATAGATGTCACATTATCAGCCTCATACTCAATCATTGAGCTTCATAGATGTCACATTATCAGCCTTGCACTGAATCATCGAGCTTCATAGATGTCACATTATCAGCCTCATACTCAATCATCGAGCTTCATAGATGTCACATTATCAGCCTCATACTCAATCATCGAGCTTCATTGATGTCACATTATCAGCCTCATACTCAATCATCGAGCTTCATAGATGTCACATTATCAGCCTCATACTCAATCATTGAGCTTCATTGATGTCACATTATCAGCCTCATACTCAATCATCAAGTTTCATAGATGTTACATTATCAGCCTCATACTCAACTCAATCATCGAGCTTCATAGATGTTACATTATCAGCCTCATACTCAATCATCGAGCTTCATTGATGTCACATTATCAGCCTCATACTCAATCATCAAGCTTCATAGATGTCACATCATCAGCCTCATACTCAATCTTCGAGCTACATAGATGCCACATATCAGCCTCATACTCAATCATCGAGCTTCATAGAGGTCACATTATCAGCCTCATACTCAATCATTGAGCTTCATTAAGATATAATTGTTAGAATTGATCTAAAAAACCAAAATGCTAAGACCTAACATTACCTGGTAAGACCTTGGAGTGAAGATATGGGTTGGTAGATTGTCATGGTCCTTTGATTTCCCAGGCTTTCGTGGATACTCAGTTCTTCTGGTCCCCATGGTTACACGTCTGCAACAAATACATAAATAGGATCATTTATGACAAAGTGGGGTGCCTCTGACTTTGAGAAGAATCCTCAAAATGGCCACAAATAGTATATGACATTAGTGTTCTCCTCAGCATTATAACAACCAAGTGCCAAACTGTTGAAAATTTGAAAAATTATATTGCCACTTAGTTAAATATCTGTTTACTCTTGTTGATGGGATAATTTGAACAAAACAGTTTAATATTATCAAGCATAAAAAAATGCTGCAGGGATCATATCACTATTGGGTTTCTTTTCTTTTTTTCTTATTTGAGTGAACTGCCTGCTACAGACTATACACCTTTTTGCTTTATTCATCAATGATTGGACTCTTTCCCCTTGATATGTATATCTTAAACATGCATCCATGAAATTTAGTACAATTTAGACCCTGAATCCAACATTTTGAATATAAAATGATTTATATACCCTGACTTTGTAGATGAGAAATACCTAATAGTAATGACCTCTTCGTTTCTCATATATATCTTTGTGTTAACATGCATAAGGGCTGACACTTTGAATTTCAAAACATGAACACTAACATGTACATGTACCTGATGTCATAATTGATACAAGGCACAAAGAATGCAAACCCAAATTAGCCAAGTTCAACAAATAACATAATCCATCAATTCTGACATTACAATTGTCTCTGGCACAGTTAGAAATTGAGGAAAAATAAGTCACACAAAACCTGTTATATTCTTTCACTAATACCAAATAAAGACATATGAGGCAAAGTAAATGTACTGATTACAAAAACAACAATTGTACGTACATGACTAGATGACAGGCTCACGTAATAATCACTCAAAGAATCACTTCATTTCTCAGTTTTTAACAGTTCTTTTAGCGGAAGTGACGAAAGAAGTGACGTATCATGCACTTTTGCCAAAATAGCATTAACCGCTATCATAACATTCACATTTCTTAACATGTCACATTGTTTATAAAGACTAGAGTCACTCTGACCTTGATTTTTAAACAGTGTTCTTTACATACTTTAAATATACATATAACACAGGTAACTAAAACGCTTAATCGTTTGATAAAAAATTGTCTTTTGTTTAAGGTAAGAATTATACATTTCATAGCACAGATCTGTGGAAAGTTTCAAATTCAGTATGATCATCAATACATTTTTTTACTTTAATCAGCTATATGACTTTGTACTTGCTGGATTGACACCAACCATACCAACCCATGCTTATTACTATTTATGCTTATATTAGTTTGATGTGAAGATAAAGGCAGGTCACAATTCATGCTTGCTGAATAGTATTTTCCTTGGCAAGTTTGTTTGTCAGCATTTTGTTTCATATAAGTAAGAGCTTATGAACTATCAAAATGGACTACGTATACGCATTTTGTTAAGTTAAGCCCCAGTTATCTCCGCTACATGGAACGAGTAGTTGCTACATAATTTGTGAAAGTCTGTAGCTGTCTGTCATACATACAGACATATGAACAGACAGAGACACACCAAGGGTGACAATTTGTCCCTACACTATGTAACTGGGACATATTTGTACCTACTCAAAATTGAGAAAGATTATAAAAATATTTTGACCTAATTTGGTAAAATTTTGACATGACAGTATGATAGGAGAACACTGAAGCTGATTCTACATGTATTTTTTCAAATTCAACTTAGAGCATGACTTGTTTGTGTGTCAAAGCTCATATAGTTCTCCTCAATATTTTCAATATCATATGTCATAAAACATGTCTTATCCCAATGCTACTTGGATGTTCACATTGAGATGAATGAGTGCTCAGATATATACAGCAGGCTAAGTAGCCATGATTTACCTGGGGGGGGGGGCCGTTTTACTAAGGGGGGAGTTTTTGCCAAGTTTTTGCTAAGGGGGGAGCTTTTTGACTAAAATTAATGCGAAAAGTGCTCAGAACGGTGAAAAACTTCATGATTTTGAAAGAATTTCTGACCAGGGGGAGGGGGAAATTTGATATCTTTCAGAGAAAAAGAAAACAATGAAAAAAACTGAATTGAAAAGCAATCAATTTTCCTTTTTATGACCGCCATTTTTGTTTCAGACAATTTTCTAAAATTTCAAAGATTGTATCATTCAGAGCAATTATTGGCAATTATTGGGCACATTTTCTGAAAAATTCAGAATATTCTGTTCAGTGACCTTTCCTAAGCGCCTTCTTTTGGCTATTTTTCAGTCACATTTTCAGAGGGCTGAAAAAGTTATTTCATCATGTTTAGGGTCATTCTGACCATGTACATTGAGATCCTGGTCATGTAAATGATATGTGAAACTAGTTAAACTGACTGGAGGTCAAAACAGAACTCTGTTATCTTGTTTCAAAAAATGTTTGAAATCCAGCATGGTTTTGTCACTTCCTGTTTTCTCATTTCCTTAAGTACCATGGCAACTTAAGTAATTTTTTTAGACTTTCCACTTTTCTTGTGGAGACTTCTTTGAAGATGTTGGTAACTATCACATAAAAGATTATAGTGCCACAAAATTTAGTTAGTTGATACATCAGTGCGCCATGTCTGATAATTGTTTTATGCTTGTTTGCGAACATAGTGACTTCGCCTTTATTTGCCTGAATGTAAAATCGCGAATTTAAAACTGTGTATTTTCCTGAATAAGGTGGATGAATTAATGGAACAAATGAAGAATAAAAACTACTAGATATAGTATACATTATTCTAATTGTGTTTTGTTTATTTTATTCAAGCGTTATAGACTAGGCAATTATGAAACAAACATGAATATTTGAATACATTTGTTTGTTTCAACACTACATGCTGGTTATAAACAATAAAACATGTACAATATAAAGTGAGTTAAAAGAGCGTCTGTTGTTTAAAAAACCATCATCTGGGGAATAGCCAGCTTCCAGTCACGTACGCATGCGATCGCCTTAAATCGCCTTTCAGTCGGGAGGGGGGGGGGGACGTGACAAACAGGTAAGCAACCCACCCTTAAGAAAAAAGCCATGGTAACCATGGTATTCCATGGTGCGTCCATGGTTATCCATGGTTTTCCATGGAAATTCATGGTTTTCCATGTTATTTTCCATGGAAATTCATGGACGCCCATGGTAATCTTCCATGGATATTTACCATGATTTTCCGTGGTAATTGGTGGTTTGATAATTGGTTTTTAATGGATGTGTCATGGGCGGCTTTTACCATGACACATGGAGATGTAAAATCAACAATTATGGTAGGATTTGTATTTACCAAAATCTCCAAAATTAATGTTTTGATGATATATTCCAGTTGGACTGAGACTTATCATAGAGAAAAAAGGGTGGACATTTCATTTTTTAGGTTTAGCAAGAACGTTCATTGAATGTTAAACTCAGTTCCTTACAAATTAGAAAATATGTGAAAATTATATAGTTTTTTATATAGAAATATGATAGTGCAGTTAATGCAGCACAGAGTAGGCCACAAGATTTCAAAAACAATTGTGCAAAGGGCTTTTGTGTAGATCAAGACTAGATTGAGATTGCTTATTTTTTAGGCCAAACACTTCTTTCCTTTGAAATAGATTAAGTCAAACTAGCCCAAGCTCTGTTTTCATTTCAATACTTTCTTTAATTTTCAGTTTTAAAAATCAATATGAAATAATTTAATAAAAAAATTTTTTAAATTACATTTCGTACATTTGAGAATACAATCAAAAACCATGGTTTCTTTCTTTGAAGTTGAGGAAACTGTAATCAAAAGCCATGGAAGTCGGTTGATTGCAATCGAAAGCCATGCTTTTCCATGATTATTTCTTTGATGTTTCGGAAAGTGCAATCAAAAGCCATGGTTTTCCATGGTTATTCTTTTGATCTTTTGAAAGTCCATGGTTTTCCATGGGCTATTTGTTTGGTCTTTTGGATGCAGAAAAAAGAATAAAACATTTTGTTTCTAAATGAACTTCTCCAAATTAAGTCCCATTCAACCTTTATAAGAATATTATCTCTCAAATTAATGTTAAAAAATTAATCTCTTTGCAACAGATTATAATAGTTCATTTGCATAATTCTTAAATATTCTAATCTTAATTGTTATTATATATGATAATCTTACTCTTTCTAATGCTCCCTCTTCAGTGATTATTATTGTCGGTGAGTGTAGACAGTGCAAGTCAAAAACTCATTGTTGATCAAATAAAACCAAATAGGATTTACTCCAAATAAAAATGTTTATTCAGTCTACAATAAGGGAATCCAGTGAGCTGATTTTATCACTTATTTTGTCTTTTTTACATCAGTGCCAAAGTTAAATGAAAGCAAATCCCAGCAAACAAATTATTACTTGTAATTGTGGGGTCAAATCATCAATTAAAAAAATATTAAGTAAAAAGTTCTTTGTCATATGACACTATGTACAGAATGTACAAACATATATTCAGATTGTAAAAACATGGTTGTATTTCAGGCCTGAAACCAGCTTTTGTCAAGAAGGTTGACTTTCTCAAATATTTGAGGGGGAGGGGCGTCATATTCTTCTCTCTATGATTAGACTCAATCCAGCTTGGATTCATTCGTTAAAATATTGATTCAATTTTGAAGATTTTGGTAAAAACAAAACATGCCAAAATTGTTGATTTTACAACTCAAGTGTCATGGTAAAAACATGGCATGTCCATGAAAAAACAATTACCAAACCACTAATTTCCACGGAAAATCATGGTAAATATCCATGGAAGATTACCATGGGTATCCATGAATTTCCATGGAAAATACCATGAAAAAACATGAATTTCCATGGAAAACCATGGATTACCATGGATGCACCATGAACGCACCATGGAATACCATGGTTACCATGGCTTTTTTCTTAAGGGCAACCCAAACAAACTTTTTTATTACAAAAATTGATGCAACTTCCTTCAAACACTTGAGCTAGAAGCTGCAAATTAAACGCATTTGAAAGGTCTTCTCTTTACCGGATCTATTGTTATTGATTATTGGGGTTCAGTCCCCGGGGTTCAGTCGCATCCCCCTGGCTATGCTTATGGATGATAAAACCAGTCATCAAAGCAACGAGTAGTCTCACGACCGGCTCACGACCCGACCCTACATGTACATATCAACAATCAACAGGCAACTTAATATCTCAATAACTCATGACAAGAAAGTTTGTAAGTTTATATAATTACCTCTTATAGGTTTTATTTTCAAAAAATAACAATCGTGACTGGATAATTAGCAGGAAATAACCCTAATTGACATAGGCTTACAACCAACTCGAAAAATAATCTCATAACAATGTTGCACTCAATATTTTCCGAAACAGGTTTCATTTCTTATCACAGTTCAGTGCAGTTTTATAAGAGACAATTCATTTCGTAAATAGAATGTACTTAATATCACTATACGTGTATTGTGGTCGCGAAAAACATCAGGAAATTATGAATTAGTAAGCCAGCCAGCCTTTGAGGGTAAGCCAGATCATTGTAGTAGCGTCAATGGTTCAAAATATCTATTGAGAAATTTATTTTTGAAAATGGGCAGTCTCCCTGTACGATTCCATCCCGCAAAAGAAGCACTATTCCCCCCTCAAAAGAAAAAAAATAGGAAGATGACGGGTTTCAAACTCGGCACCATGTGTGTACGAGTCGTGCTCGCTAACCACTAGGCCACCAGTGATGAGGATATTTGTGGAAGTAAAAGTAGTGAATTAATTTTTGAAATTGTCGGCTCTCTATCAAATCCACGGAGGAGCCACTTGCGTACCGACAATTGTTGGTTCTCTATCTGGCCCTACTAGGTGACGATAGAGTGCCGACAATTGTCGGTACTCCAGAAAATACCCACTGCGTAGTCTCCAGTACCGACAATTGTCAGTCCTGGAGCCACTTCGTAAAACATCGTATACTGAATTGCTGGTACATGTAGGTGAGTGACAGTGCCTTTCAGTATTGAAAGATTATTTTATAGAGTTGATTGACAAAGAAAAAATCACTTCACTCACTTCAGCAAATCCATTACTTATTTTTCATTTATGGTCAAAACTGTACATGTGATGTTCCGAGTTCCAATCAGCATTGCACATACATGTATAACGAGAACACTTTCATAAACCATGGGCTTTCAAGAGAAAGCAAATGGATAAACCTACAACTGCATGCAATGAATGATGATGAACTCAAGTAAGATAAAATCGAACAGTTGAGGTATGCCACAATCTCAGGGTCTCAAGACAAACAATGAAAATAAGCACAGTTGAAAACTATTCAGATTTTGATCTAAATACTGGTTCAAAAAGTAATTGGTACTTTACCTATTCTTGGTCGCGATGACATGCAATCAAATCCTGTTAAAGATTGTTTAGTTTGAAAACATAAAATGAAGATTTAATCATGTATTGTCCGTTTTAAACGTAAATTTATGCATTTTTTGGCAAAATTTTACTTCCTCACGTTGTCTCCAAAATGAGAATGTAACGAGTTTTTTCATTGGTCAATATATGTCACCTGACAAAAAATTGGGAAATCCTTCAAAATGGTAGACCGACTTGAGAAAAAGTTTAAAAATTGAATTATTCGTTTTCCCGGACGTTTTCCTTACATATTGATGTATTAAGGTATGTTTATAAGTTATATAAGTGAACACAATAATTATATAATTTGAAAGAATGACTTTATGAGCATTGATGAATGAAAATCTAAACGATCTGTGAAAAATAGGAGTAAAGTCAAAAGAGATCACCATAAATAACACCTGGATTTTCTATCACCAATCAAGACCATGGTGATTTGAGACTTCATACTTTCCAATAATGTCTAGATACGCACCCCTTAAGTTTTGTATATTTTACATTTTGTATACTCTCATCCACTGATGTTTGGCCTTTTGAAAATCCTCTTCTTTGAGATATCTCACTTCAGCAAATCCAGATGTCATTTATTTATGGTGAGCACTGTAGATGTAGTTGAAAGCCCATCAGGAGAAAGGTTAGATCGAGACCCTGTCTGTTGCAAGACTTATGCCTGGCACAACCATCAACATGTTATTACAGTCCAAGACTTAATAAACCTCAACCATCAAAAGATTTCACGATGAGCTAAATTCTAAGTTTCATGTCTCAAACTCTCCCAGTTGAAAAGAAATTCCTGTTCACTCTAAGTCGCACAATAAATGAATCCACAGCTTCATACCTGCAAATGATGGATAAATTCCTACCAAATCGAACAAATGTTTTCATGAATCGCCATGTTTGTGATCCAAGGAGGATTGACTCCCAGAATGCAACATCAGTTAACCTTATTTACTTGTAACAGGTTTCAAAATGGCGGAACGGCATTTTGAAAGCTGGCACGTGTCATGTTGCATTCTGGGAGCCAATCTTCATTGCGGCGTAATCAGGCTCCAAAATCACCTCAACAACAAGAATCAGAATTAACATGTGAATATCACTTCAAATTTTTAAGTTCCTATTTGTCATTATGGACACAAATTCCACTATATTTGTACATTCCGGGACGGAGAAAATAGAGCACTCAATTCACTGAGGTAAGAATTTATGACATACATGTATGTGACAGAATGTCTTTTTCAAAAGTGTTCTACTTATAAGGGGTTCCACTTATAGATGTTCATTTGACATTTAGTCAGTTGGTCTTGGGATTCTGAAAAGTGTTCCAGTAACAGAGGTGTTCCACTTCAAAAGCTGTTCCACTTAACGTGTTTCACTGTACATGAACATATGTTAATGCAAAATTCCTAATTTTTGAGTCTTAGAAGAATCTTTATAGCAAAATGATTGACATAACTCATCTACAGCTAAAAATGCTATTTATACTCATTTAACCTCATGTACTTTATTAATAACGTCTCTTCTTTTTCAGTAATATCCCACCTCCGGAACATGGATTCCACAGATATATCTGATACCATTTACCAAAAGAGGAGCCTGGGCAACAAATTATATAAATGGAAAAAGACTGGTACATTTTGTGATCTTATCATAAAGACACAATACAATGTAACCCTTCTTGTACACAAGGTCATCATATGCGCCTCTAGTGAATTCCTAAAAGCAATGGTGGTTGCACAAGGATCCAGACTTCCGACACTTAATCTGAGTAGATTTAATATTGGGAAGGATATAATGGAATTGTTGGTAGATTTCATGTATGATCAGCCCATTCAACCTTCATGGGACAATATTGAAGCTGTGACCTCTGCAGCAAGAGCCATTGGATTGGATGAACTTTTGGAGATATTTCGGGAGAATGAACAGTGTGCAAACATTAAGGGCGATGTCAATGATGATGGCACAGAATATAGTGATATCAAACAGGAGTCAATGGGTATGAAAATATTCAATTACTGAAGGTCAAATTTTATTTTTAGTATTTAATAAAAGATGAAAATCTTTCTTCTTGACATTTCAAGGTCTTTTGATATTCAAGTCAATTTTTGTTTGAGATTTAATAATGCTACACAAGTCACATTGTTTCATATAGATTTCCATATTATAGAGACAATGATAAAGTAGGCACAATATGCACTGTAGACTGTACTAGAAAGAATTACATGCTGCAACACAAGTCACATTATTTCATATAAATTTCCATTTTATGAAGACAATGATAAAGTAGGTGCAATATGCACTGTAGACTGTACTAGAAAAAACAATTTTATGTTTTACATTGTTGTATCTAAGTAGAAGCATGATATTGATAATATACAAAAGAATTACATTTTTTTTTCAGAGAGTGGTAACCTTGGTGATGACAACTGTTGGGAGACTGAAGATGTTAGAAAGACTGGAACTGCAGATGATGTAAACTTCTCGAGAGATGAATATGACCCTCTCAGTGATATTGATTCTGATAACCTAAATGATGATTATGATGAACTAAAAGATGACATTGATCAACAAAATGATGACAAAAACAAATCTCAGCAAAATAATGCCAACAAACAGCTTATTTATTGCAATCAATTAAAAAATGATGATGGTCCTAAGTTAAGTGATGAAAATGATCAATTAAATCATGAGGGTAATTTAAACAATGGTGCAGTTGGTCAACCTTATGTTACCTCAAGCTATGACAAAGAATGGAAGAATAGCAATGAGGAAAACCATTCAGTACACTCTGGATTTAATTTAAAAGAATGTTCCATTCTTGTGAAGCGAATAAAATCAGAAACATTGAAAACTATAAGTCAAAAAAACTCTTATGGACAGTTATGTCCGAATGGATTCTCTTTCTATGATAAAACAGCTGAAGATGACTTTTATACATGTAAAAAATGCACGAAAACATTTGTGTATATAAATGCACTGAGAGATCATGTAGGTTTGAATCATTTGAATCAAAAATCTAAGACACAGTGTAACTTGCTTTGTAAAACGTGTGATGAAAGTATCATGGTAAAAGATTGGAAACTCCATCATAGCACTAAACACAATCATGAAGATGCGGAGTACACTTGCACTCAGTGTAATGCAATTTACATTCATGATTTAGATCTACTTTGTCATATTGCTGAACATGCTGGTAATGTGGATATATGCACTATATGTGATAAAACATTCAGTACGGAACAGGAAGTGACATCACACTGGATGATGTATCACACTCATTGTGATATCATGTTCTGTCATATATGTGGTCGTGTGTGCCCAACAAAGAAGATACTTCAGGAGCACATTATCAATGATCATGCTATACAATATATTGAGGTGATATTAAAACTACAGGATCCAATAACGGGTGAGGATATGCAGACCAATGATAGCAAATGTGGTGCACACAAGTGCCAAAAATGCGCAAAAGTCTTCCCACGTCCAAATAAGCTTGAATCTCACTATATGAACACACATACAAACTTAAAGCCATTTACATGTGACTTATGTAAAGCTCAATTTGGAACACAAAGTTTACTCAATGTCCACAAAAAGAGACTCCATACTGTTGAAGGAAGGTTCATGTGTGATCGGTGTGGTAATGAGTATCTAAACCTACTACAACTCAAAAGTCACATTCAGAGACACAAGTTTAGAAACAGAAAAAATAGAATACGCAAAAGATCCAGGTTAAAAAATTCTGACACCCAACCATACATAAAACCAGAAATGTCACATTTGACATCAGGCGAAAACCCGCAGAAATATATTAAAGCCAAGGTTAACCTTCAAGATCCGATCACAAATGAGGACATGTTTACAACAGATAGTAAGCCTGGGATGCACAAATGTCGAAAATGTGCAAAAGTCTTCCCACGTCCAATTAAACTTGAGGCCCATTACATGAACACACATACAAACTTAAGGCCATTTCCATGTGACTTATGTGAGTTTAAATACAGCACGCAAAGCTTATTGAATACCCATAAAAAGAGGTGGCATACCATTGAACAAGGAAATTTTACATGTGATCAATGTGGGAAAGAATATCCAAACCTGTTTAGGCTTAAGAGCCATATGTTAATACACAAATACAAACATATTAAACGAGTCAGAAAAGACAGGCCACCAAAACCAGCCACTTGTCAAATATGTCATCAAAACTTTCAGTCGAGAGCATTAATGAGTGCACACCGAGTTAAGATTCATTCTGTAAAACCATTTGCTTGTAAAGAATGCCCTAAGAGATTTTATAAAGCAAGTGTATTAGATAGACACATAGGAAATAATCACACTACGTGCACACCGTATAGTTGTGCAATTTGTGATTTCAAGTTCCCGACTAAGAGCTCACTAAGTGGACACATAAAACTACATGCTAAAGGGAAGCAAATGCCTAAGGAACAAAGGGTACTGAAAAGTCAGGCTAATTTACCCATACAGTGTGAATTATGTGGTGAAGTCTGTCTTGGAAAGGAGTACAAGACCCATAAAACCACAAAACATGGGACACCTTCCTGGCCTCCTCTGGGTGAAGGATCAGTTGATGGCAAAATTTACAAATGCTTCAATTGTGAACAAATGTTTGAAGAATTTAAATTATATAAAAAACACTTTGTAGTAAGTCATTCAAACGTAGCCTCACATCAGTGTGCCAAATGTAATGAAAGTTTTTTAACTAAAACAAGTTTGGCTAATCATATGAAAGAATGTCATAGTGACAGAACATTTAACTGCACAGAATGTGAGAGAAAATTTGAGACGGCAAAGTCACTAAAAGATCATCAACTCATCCATTGCATTTGTAACGTCTGTAACAAACAACTGTCATCTAGGAAAACATTATATCGTCATAAGCGCCATCTCCATGGTGACGACAAACCATATCAATGCAATCAGTGCAAACAGAGGTTTATAATACCATCTGAGCTCAATGTTCACATCCAACATAAACATATTGGAAAAATCTATTGTTCTATATGTGACAAACATTTCCCAAACTTAAATTTATTACGTAAACACAGGGTGCTAACTCATAAAACAGGCAAACTCGATACAAGTCCGACTCCATGTGATGTATGCGGTAAAAGCCTTAAAGGAACATCTGGTTTGAGAGTCCATATGCAAAATGTACATGGAGCTTCATCAAAATCTGTGCAATGTCATATATGTGGTAAAGAATTTCACTCCAGGAAATACTGTAGTGCCCATATAAGGCGAGTTCATACTGAGAAGGATGTAGCTGATATTACGTGCGTTCATTGTGGTAGCACATTTTCAGCAAAGTCGAGTATGCTACGTCATGTTTCTCTACAACATCCAAATGTATCGCCACCTTTGCCATTGCAGTGTAAACATTGTTCTGAAATATTCAGGGAAGAAAAACATTTAGAAAATCATATTTTAGTGTCACATTAGCATATAACACATATTGTCCAGAAAATATTGTATACAATTATTGTAAAGTATTGTACAAATATTTATTGATTTAAAGCTTTTCAAGCTTTGTATGCAGTATAAATTGAGTTATTAAGAAATAAATATGCTCAAATATAAACTTATTTTTTAGTATTAAATGGTAGGCCTACATTTCATGGAATGTTGGTCTGAAACAATATCCTAAAAACATTTGCTGTATACCTTGTACAACGGATGATTGATATGAGGCATAAAACAGCCTTTTTGCCAATTTATTGAGTATTTAGAAAATATAAGATTGCAATTGTATAATTGGTCAAAATCGAGTCATGTGTCAGCAGATATGGTAATATTTTCACCAGTCTTGCTTCTCAAATTAGACACCCAGTTATAACATTAATTTTTCAAACTGTAAGTGTAAATCTGTAATAAGAAAAGTAGACCCTAATATATCCCAACAAGGCATTAACATGACAAAATGTCACCACCTAGTTGCTCACAATATTATGAGTTCAAACTTAAGTCAGATTTGAATTTCTGAGAACTTGTAAAGTCAAATTTGAACTTCTGAAAAGATGTAGATGATTTTGAAAAAAAGAATTTGGTCAATTTGAAGCAAGTTGAAAACAGACCTTTTTGACCTTTTTTGACCTTGAGAAGGTCATTAAAGGTCAAATGTCAAACCTAAAGTCAGATTTGAATTTCTGAGAACATGTAGATGATTTTGAAAAAAAAATTAGTCAATTTGAAGCAAGTCGAAAAAAAACCTTTTTGACCTTTTTTGACATTGAGAAGGTCATTGAAGGTCAAATGTCAAATCTAAAGTCAGATTTGAATTTCTGAGAACATGTAGATGATTTTGAAAAAAAATTTTAGTCAATTTGAAGCAAGTTGAAAAAAGACCTTTTTGACCTTTTTTGACTTTGAGAAGGTCATTGAAGGTCAAATGTCAAATCTTAAGTCAAATCTAAAGTCAGATTTGAATTTCTGAGAACACGTAGATGATTTTGAAATTTTTTTTAGTCAATTTGAAGCAAGTTGAAAACAGACCTTTTTGACCTTTTTTGACCTTGAGAAGGTCATTGAAGGTCAAATGTCAAATCTTAAGTCAAATCTTAAGTCAGATTTGAATTTCTGAGAACACGTAGATGATTTTGAAAAAAAAATTTAGTCAATTCGAAGCAAGTTGAAAACAGACCTTTTTGACCTTTTTTGACCTTGAGAAGGTCATTGAAGGTCAAATGTCAAATCTAAAGTCAGATTTGAATTTCTGAGAACATGTAGATGATTTTGAAAAAAAAATTTAGTCAATTTTAAGCAAGTTGAAAAAAGACCTTTTTGACCTTTTTTGACTTTGAGGTCATTGAAGGTCAAATGTCAAATCTTAAGTCAAATCTAAAGTCAGATTTGAATTTCTGAGAACACGTAGATGATTTTGAAAAATTTTTTTAGTCAATTTGAAGCAAGTTGAAAACAGACCTTTTTGACCTTGAGAAGGTCATTGAAGGTCAAATGTCAAATCTTAAGTCAAATCTAAAGTCAGATTTGAACTTCTGAGAACATGTAGATGATTTAGAAAAAAATTGAAGTCAGTCTAAACAGTATTTGTTAAGTTATAGGAAGTTGTAAGAAATTGTTACAGACGCCAGACGCCAACCGCCGGACGCCAACCGCCAGACGCCAACCGCCGGACGCCAACCGCCGTCGCAAAAAAACGGAGACCATAACAATATGTCACCACTTTTGGTGGTGACATAAAAACCATGATCTAACGTGAAAAGAAACAATGTCTAACATCCCCCTCCCCCTCCAATCGAGAATCATTATCACAATTCAGGACCAGAACACCAAGGGACATTTCATTCATACTGAAGTCATTACAATACATGTTGAAGAAAAATTAAGAGATGTTTATTACATTTATTGACGCAACTGCCCCAATTCCCTGAATTGCTTGGAATTTACTTAACCAATGTCACATTCGCTGGTTATCATACTTGTTATACTCTAATAGACTGTTTACATTTTTTTAATCAATATTTCATATGACTTTGATATTGCAGTTAACATCAACCAATTAATGTAAAACATACATAAGTATGATCCTGGCCTATCATTGTTTAACCCTTTCTTTTGCCAAGATGGCTGCCCCATATTCAGATATTGGATTATATAAAATGTGTGACTTTTGACTTATAATAGCTGGACCATAAATCTAACCTTTATACATGTTATAAAGTAACTTGAAGTAAAACAATGAAATTAATACAGGTACAATGTGCATGTTTTGCTGTTGGGACTATGATCTTCCGATGACCTGTACCTATCCTGACAACTAGAAAACTTATGTATAAGGCGTGTAAATAAACAAAATTGAAATCGTATTATTGCAATACTTCAAACTTTATTTTTTGAATAGAATTAGTAAACATGAAGGTGGTTGTAAAATTTACAATCATTTGGTAATATTTCAATAATTTACATTATTACATGTATTTTCATATACAAATTACATGTATAGCAAATTGCACATCTAGCTATTTGGTACAAGTTGGATGACTGGACTATTTTAATTCAAAGGTAATGCAATGACGCATACCTAAGCAAGACTCACAGATCCTTATAAATCAGACGATACATAGCTTGACTAAATACATTACTTCTGATGATACATCACTTAAAATCAGGGGGGGATAACCCCAGAGTTCAAAGATGACATATTCGGGTTTGTGTAAAAAACCAGGTGACCGGGTAACTGGGTGACCGGGTACTTAACATTCCTAGCGGGGTTAGGAATTTTTTTTTATTTGTAACGTTGGATACATGTACATTATTTTCAATGTCACGTTTTGAGGTTATTTCACATCGTAAGAACGTTTTGACGTCTTTGTAACGTTTCCTTAACTCACAAATATTTTGAAGCCATTTCCATAATGTTGAAATTCAACCATCCATCGACGTTTTGCTGAATATTTAATAACGTCAGATCAATACGGTCCATGAACGTCATTATTAACGTCACGTTTTGAGGTTATTTCAAATCGTTAAATTTTAACGTTAACAAAACGTCGGAAATTAACCGACTTAGTGAGAACACAAAGTTTTTGTCATGTTTTTTTCCACCAACAAATATTTTGATATCAAAAGCCTGTTTTGACAACATTGAATTTTAACGTTTGAGTTACGTCACATATGGACCAATGTAGTAAAAAATCAAACGTTCCACACTAACGAACTTTACGGACACATTGCAACAACGTTCTTTTTATACCATCAATAGATGTCTCATGTTAACAGTGCCTCGATGTGTAAAGAACGAAAATGTGCAACGTCTTCTAGGAACTTATATGCTACTTATGAGCAACGTGACATGGAGGTCACTGTTTGCTGGATCGATTATTTTAAAAAGTGCTCTGTCTCGTATAGGGTAAAAATATCGAACAGTAGTGCACTCGGTAGGCTAAGTCTGTCAAGTCAATATTCGCTACTAGACTATTATCGGGGGAAATGTGGAACTTTGAAAGTTGGTAACCCTGCTCGGAACATTAGGTACCCGGTCGACCGGGTACCCAGTTACCCTGTTTTTTACACAAACCCGACATATTCTTATAATGTAAACTTGTATTAAGATGACATTCATTTCTGATTGGTCAAAAATGGACAAACAAAATGGCAGCCTCAAAATTTTCCAAAATACAGTTCAAATAATATTATGTTCATTTATGGCGTGTTAACCAATATCATAGCTTCTTATTTCACATCAAGATAAAGAAAGGTGTACGGAATATGCCAACATCAATTAAAACATCACATCGAAGTGTAGTATTCGGAAACTAGCTGGTGAAAATTCAGACAAACGAAGGTGGTAAGCAAGTGATGTAATTATCTTTGTTATATCTAACGCTCTGGGGCTTCCCTTCTTTTTACTTAAAATGATACATCATTAAAGCAGATACATGTTTTGACATGTTTTACTTTTATTTGGGCATCCACAGTGCTTGCCTGATACAAAATAATTAATTAATTAATAGGTAATTGTTATACTAAAATTGGGTTGAAATAATAGATATAACATGTGACATGTATATACTCATTCACATCAATAAATAAATTAAAAACAGAAATACCACACATTGTCTTGTCAGACATCAATAATTCATAATGACCCAGAATTTGCAGCATCAAGAGTGCAGCATCAAAAGACTTATACAAACTTTCTTTCCTGAAAGAAGCAATTGCTCAAAGTCTTTTGTTGTTGAAACTAACATATCATTATGAGTTTGAAATTAATTAGGTTTTAACTGATAAAATGTCAGTATGTTTTTACTGAAAAGAGTAACAATTGTGACAGACACAAACCTTTACCAGATACTGATGCTAAATGCCAGTACCAAAAATGGTGAACAGTAAGTAAAGTAAAACCTGTGCCAGTGTAACACTAAAAATGGGAGGTGTTCACTTACAGAGTTTCATTCCCACTTATGGATTGGAGGTGTTCCACTTTCTAGGTTTTACTGTATACTTCAAGTAAACGTTTAAGGTACACTTTTCTACCACACACATTAAAACATGCATGTCAACTTCTAAGTGATGTCAACTTCATGGGAAAAATTTAGAGAAATCTTGTGATACCATCGGACATCAGTGTCAAGATTTAGGGACAAAAATTTATGTCATTTTTAAGTAAAGCTTTTTTTCTTTACAATGACGAGTTGAGAAATTTAAAAACATCCCACTTACTGAACTTTTAAACTTTTAAGGCATGTATTTTCAAAAAGCTTTACATTGGCGATATTCCATTACATTCTTGGACTTTGATTATTTTACGATTGAAAGTTGTGAACTTTTATGCAGGCATTTTCAAAAAGCTTTACATTGGCGATATTCCATTACATTCTTGGACTTTGATTATTTTACGATTGAAAGTTGTGAACTTTTAATGCAGGCATTTTCAAAAAGCTTTACATTGGCCATATTCCTTTACATTCTTGGACTTAGAATATTTCACGAAGCAACGTTGTGAACTTTTAATGCAGGCATTTTCAAAAAGCTTTACATTGGCCATATTCCTTTACATTCTTGGACTTAGAATATTTTATGATATATAGAAGTGTAATTTATGGCATGCATTTTCAAAAAGCTTTACATTGGCCATTTTCCCTTACATTCTTAGACTTAGAATATTTTACGATCTGAAGAGGTGAACTTTTACAGCATGCATTTTCAAAAAGCTTTACATTGGCCATATTCCTTTACATTCTTGGACTTAGAATATTTCACGAAGCAAAGTTGTGAACTTTTTATGCAGGCATTTTCAAAAAGCTTTACAATGGCCATTTTCCTTTACATTCTTGGACTTAGATTATTTTATCATATATAGAAGTGAATTTTATGGCATGCATTTTCAAAAAAGTTTACATTGGCGATATTCCATTACATTCTTGGACTTTGATTATTTTACGATTGAAAGTTGTGAACTTTTAATGCAGGCATTTTCAAAAAGCTTTACATTGGCCATATTCCTTTACATTCTTGGACTTAGAATATTTCACGAAGCAACGTTGTGAACTTTTAATGCAGGCATTTTCAAAAAGCTTTACATTGGCCATATTCCTTTACATTCTTGGACTTAGAATATTTTATGATATATAGAAGTGTAATTTATGGCATGCATTTTCAAAAAGCTTTACATTGGCCATTTTCCCTTACATTCTTAGACTTAGAATATTTTACGATCTGAAGAGGTGAACTTTTACAGCATGCATTTTCAAAAAGCTTTACATTGGCCATATTCCTTTACATTCTTGGACTTAGAATATTTCACGAAGCAAAGTTGTGAACTTTTTATGCAGGCATTTTCAAAAAGCTTTACAATGGCCATTTTCCTTTACATTCTTGGACTTAGATTATTTTATCATATATAGAAGTGAATTTTATAGCATGCATTTTCAAAAAGCTTTACATTTTCCATATTCCTTTACATTCTTGGACTTAGATTATTTTACGATCTTATGAGGTGAAATTTTATGGCATGCATTTTCAAAAAGCTTTACATTGGCCATATTCCTTTACATTTTTGGACTTAGAATATTTCACGAAGCAAAATTGTGAACTTTTTATGCAGGCATTTTCAAAAAGCTTTACATTGGCGAAATTCCATTACATTCATGGACTTAGATTATTTTGTGATTGAAAGTTGTGAATTTTTATAGCATGCATTTTCAAAAAGCTTTACATTGGCCATATTCCTTTACATTCTTGGACTTAGATTATTTTACGATCTATAGAAGTGAAATTTTACAGCATGCATTTTCAAAAAGCTTTACATTGGACATTTTCCTTTACATTCTTGGACTTAGATTATTTTACGATCTATAGAAGTAAAATTTATGGCATGCATTTTCAAAAAGCTTTACATTGGCCATTTTCCTTTACATTCTTGGACTTACATTATTTTATGATATATAGAAGGGATATATACTATATATATATACTTGATAACTTTTAAGGCATGTATTTTCAAAAAGCTTTACATTGGCCATATTCCTTTACATTCTTGGACTTAGAATATTTCACGAAACAAAGTTGTGAACTTTTTATGCAGGCGTTTTTAAAAAGCTTTACATTGGCAAAATTCCATTACATTCTTGGACTTAGATTATCTTACGATGTAAAGTAGATAACTTTTAATTCAGGCATTTTCAAAAAGCTTTACAATGGCCATTTTCCTTTACATTCTTGGACTTAGAATATTTTACGATCTATAGAAGTGAAATTTTATGGCATCCATTTTCAAAAAGCTTTACATTGGCCATATTCCATTACATTTTTGGACTTGGATTATTTCAAGATTTAAAGTTGTAAACTATTATCTCATTTTACGATTTAAGTTGTGAACTCTCATAGAATGCTGTACATGTATTTCCACGCTTTACTGTCCCCTTTCCTTTAGCCTACTTATTTTGACTTTTAGATTTGGTATTTGTTGGATTCTGTTCTTTCACGACGTACAGTACACGTAGAATTGTAAAAAACATATGTCATTGGAGAGAATACAGTAAAGATCGCTAAATATAGAAATGAACTTGCATAGACAATAGTATTGATAGTGATTGAAGAAATCCCCAAGAGAGCCCCTCGAATAGATGGGATTGTTTTCCCCGATCATCTTCAATACTTTCACAAGAGATGGTTGGAAATCGATCTAAAATTATGCCTTATATTTCTAATTTGATGATAGAGTATGATTCCAGGTGGGAAAGTCGTGTAAAAGGCGAGAAATGTTAAAAGAAATGAGAAAGTTTGACGGGCTTTTGACATGCGCAGAACTCATGCGCAGAAGCTCTTTTGGTAAAATCAAATTTCTTAACTTTGCAACATTTCCTTCATTTTATGGACTATTTTGCGATAACATTAGAAAAACATGGTGTTGAAAGCACCCAATGATAGATATTAATCGGGAGGATGTACCGGCCAATACTAATATCGAAGGTAGAATACATATATGGAATTTGACGCGCCGACCTCAGAGAAAACACTTCCGGTTTTATAACCAAATACTCTATCGATCAGAATATCTTATTGTAATGTAATTTCGCCAGACATCTGCTAATATGATATGTGAATATTTGTTGATTTGATTGTTAATTACAAATTACTCAGAAGTACACGTAGGTACATGTAAGGGGAAGAACAAGTCAAGGTTTACATCGTAAAATAATCCGAGTCCAAGAATGTAAAGGAAAATGGCCATTGTAAAGCTTTTTGAAAATGCATACTATAAAAGTTCACAACTTTCAATTCACTTCTACACATGTAGATTGTAAAATAATCTATGTCCAAGAATGTAAAGGAAAATGGCCAATGTAAACCTTTTTGAAAATGCATGCCATAAAATTTCACCTCGTTAGATCGTAAAATAATCTAAGTCCAAGAATGTAAAGGGATATGGCCAATGTAAAGCTTTTTGAATATGCATGCCATAAAATTTCACCTCGTTAGATCGTAAAATAATCTATGTCCAAGAATGTAAAGGAAAATGGCCAATGTAAAGCTTTTTGAAAATGCCTGCATAAAAAGTTCATGACTTTGTTTTATGAAATATTCTAAGTCCAAGAATGTAAAGGAATATGGCCAATGTAAAGCTTTTTGAAAATGCCTGCATAAAAAGTTCATGACTTTGTTTCGTGAAATATTCTAAGTCCAAGAATGTAAAGGAATATGGCAAATGTAAAGCTTTTTGAAAATGCATTCTGTAAAATTTCTCCTCGTTAGATCGTAAAATATTTTAAGTCCAAGAATGTAAAGGAAAATGACCAATGTAAAGCTTTTTGAAAATGCATGCCATAAAATTTCACTTCTATAGATCGTAAAATAATCTATGTAAAGGAATGTGGCCAATGTAAAGCTTTTTGAAAATGCCTGCATAAAAAGTTCATGACTTTGTTTCGTGAAATATTCTAAGTCCAAGAATGTAAAGGAATATGGCCAATGTAAAGCTTTTTGAAAATACATGCCTTGAAAGTTATCAAGTATATATCGTAAAATAATCTAAGTCCAAGAATGTAAAGGAATATGGCCAATGTAAAGCTTTTTGAAAATGCATACTATAAAAGTTCACAACTTTCAATCGCAAAATAATCTAAGTCCAATAATGTAAAGGAAAATGGCCAATGTAAAGCTTTTTGAAAATGCAGGCCATAAAATTTCATTTCTATACATGTAGATCGTAAAATAATCTAAGTTAATAAATGTAAAGGAAAATGGCCAATGTAAAGCTTTTTTGAAAATGCATGCCATAAAATTTCACTTCTATAGATCGTAAAATAATTTAAGTCCAAGAATGTAAAGGAAAATGGCCATTGTAAAGCTTTTTGAAAATGCATGCTATAAAAGTTCACAACTTTCAATCGCAAAATAAACTAAGTCCAAGAATGTAATGGAATTTCGCCAATGTAAAGCTTTTTGAAAATGCCTGCATAAAAAGTTCACAATTCGCTTTGTGAAATATTCTAAGTCCAGGAATGTAAAGGAATATGGCCAATGTAAAGCTTTTTGAAAATACATGCCTTGAAAGTTATCAAGTAAATATCGTAAAATAATCTAAGTCCAAGAATGTAAAGGAATATGGCCAATGTAAAGCTTTTTGAAAATGCATGCTATAAAAGTTCACAACTTTCAATCGCAAAATATTCTAAGTCCAAGAATGTAAAGGAAAATGGCCAATGTAAAGCTTTTTGAAAATGCATGCCATGAAATTTCACTTCTATAGATCGTAAAATAATCTAAGTCCAAGAATGTAAAGGAATGTGGCCAATGTAAAGCTTTTTGAATATGCATGTTTAAAAGTTCACAACTTTCAATCGCAAAATAATCTAAGTCCAAGAATGTAATGGAATTTCGCCAATGTAAAGCTTTTTGAAAATGCCTGCATAAAAAGTTCATGACTTTGTTTCGTGAAATATTCTAAGTCCAAGAATGTAAAGGAAAATGGCCAATGTAAAGCTTTTTGAAAATACATGCCTTAAGAGTTATCATGTACATGTATATATCGTAAAATAATCTAAGTCCAAGAATGTAAAGGAATATGGCCAATGTAAAGCTTTTTGAAAATACATATCTTAAAATTTTTCAAGTTTACATCGTAAAATAATCTAAGTCCAAGAATGTAAAGGAATATGGCCAATGTAAAGGTTTTTGAAAATGCATGCTATAAAAGTTAACAACTTTCACTCGCAAAATATTCTAAGTCCAAGAATGTAAAGTAAAATGGCCAGTGTAAAGCTTTTTGAAAATGCATGCCATAAATTTCAGTTCTCTATATCGTAAAATAATCTTAGTCCAAGAATGTAAAGGAAAATGGCCATTGTAAAGCTTTTTGAAAATGCATGCTATAAAAGTTCACAACTTTTAATCGTAAAATAATCTAAGTCCAAGAATGTAATGGAATTTCGCCAATGTAAAGCTTTTTGAAAATGCCTGCATAAAAAGTTCACAACTTTGCTTCGTGAAATATTCTAAGTCCAGGAATGTAAAGGAATATGGCCAATGTAAAGCTTTTTGAAAATGCATGCTGTAAAAGTTCACCTCTTCAGATCGTAAAATATTGAAAGTCCAAGAATGTAAAGGAATATGGCCAATGTAAAGCTATTTGAAATGCCTGATATAAAAGTTCACAACTTTCAATCGTAAAATAATCAAAGTCCAAGAATGTAAAGGAATGTGGCCAATGTAAAGCTTTTTGAAAATGCATGTTTAAAAGTTCACAACTTTCAATCGCAAAATAATCTAAGTCCAAGAATGTAATGGAATTTCGCCAATGTAAAGCTTTTTGAAAATGCCTGCATAAAAAGTTCATGACTTTGTTTCGTGAAATATTCTAAGTCCAAGAATGTAAAGGAAAATGGCCAATGTAAAGCTTTTTGAAAATACATGCCTTAAGAGTTATCATGTACATGTTTATATCGTAAAATAATCTAAGTCCAAGAATGTAAAGGAATATGGCCAATGTAAAGCTTTTTGAAAATACATATCTTAAAATTTTTCAAGTTTACATCGTAAAATAATCTAAGTCCAAGAATGTAAAGGAATATGGCCAATGTAAAGGTTTTTGAAAATGCATGCTATAAAAGTTAACAACTTTCACTCGCAAAATATTCTAAGTCCAAGAATGTAAAGTAAAATGGCCAATGTAAAGCTTTTTGAAAATGCATGCCATAAATTTCAGTTCTCTATATCGTAAAATAATCTTAGTCCAAGAATGTAAAGGAAAATGGCCATTGTAAAGCTTTTTGAAAATGCATGCTATAAAAGTTCACAACTTTTAATCGCAAAATAATCTAAGTCCAAGAATGTAATGGAATTTCGCCAATGTAAAGCTTTTTGAAAATGCCTGCATAAAAAGTTCACAACTTTGCTTCGTGAAATATTCTAAGTCCAGGAATGTAAAGGAATATGGCCAATGTAAAGCTTTTTGAAAATGCATGCTGTAAAAGTTCACCTCTTCAGATCGTAAAATATTGAAAGTCCAAGAATGTAAAGGAATATGGCCAATGTAAAGCTATTTGAAATGCCTGATATAAAAGTTCACAACTTTCAATCGTAAAATAATCAAAGTCCAAGAATGTAAAGGAATGTGGCCAATGTAAAGCTTTTTGAAAATGCATGTTTAAAAGTTCACAACTTTCAATCGCAAAATAATCTAAGTCCAAGAATGTAATGGAATTTCGCCAATGTAAAGCTTTTTGAAAATGCCTGCATAAAAAGTTCATGACTTTGTTTCGTGAAATATTCTAAGTCCAAGAATGTAAAGGAAAATGGCCAATGTAAAGCTTTTTGAAAATACATGCCTTAAGAGTTATCATGTACATGTATATATCGTAAAATAATATAAGTCCAAGAATGTAAAGGAATATGGCCAATGTAAAGCTTTTTGAAAATACATATCTTAAAATTTTTCAAGTTTACATCGTAAAATAATCTAAGTCCAAGAATGTAAAGGAATATGGCCAATGTAAAGGTTTTTGAAAATGCATGCTATAAAAGTTAACAACTTTCACTCGCAAAATATTCTAAGTCCAAGAATGTAAAGTAAAATGGCCAATGTAAAGCTTTTTGAAAATGCATGCCATAAATTTCAGTTCTCTATATCGTAAAATAATCTTAGTCCAAGAATGTAAAGGAAAATGGCCATTGTAAAGCTTTTTGAAAATGCATGCTATAAAAGTTCACAACTTTTAATCGCAAAATAATCTAAGTCCAAGAATGTAATGGAATTTCGCCAATGTAAAGCTTTTTGAAAATGCCTGCATAAAAAGTTCACAACTTTGCTTCGTGAAATATTCTAAGTCCAAGAATGTAAAGGAATATGGCCAATGTAAAGCTTTTTGAAAATGCATGCTGTAAAAGTTCACCTCTTCAGATCGTAAAATATTGAAAGTCCAAGAATGTAGAGGAATATGGCCAATGTAAAGCTATTTGAAATGCCTGATATAAAAGTTCACAACTTTCAATCGTAAAATAATCAAAGTCCAAGAATGTAATGGAATATCGCCAATGTAAAGCTATTTGAAATGCCTGATATAAAAGTTCACAACTTTAAATCGTAAAATAATCAAAGTCCAAGAATGTAATGGAATATCGCCAATGTAAAGCTTTTTGAAAATACATGCCTTAAAAGTTTAAAAGTTCAGTAAGTGGGATGTTTTTAAATTTCTCAACTCGTCATTGTAAAGAAAAAAAGCTTTACTTTAAAATGACATAAATTTTTGTCCCTAAATCTTGATATATATACCATCGGAGCAATTAAACATGTTAAAATAAAAACTCTGCCATGAGACTTAGGATTTTGAATCAGGAAACACTCCTACAGTCCTACATCTACATCTCCACTTCTTTAGAAACCTCTGTTATATGCCAAATGCCAAATAGATGTGATATCAATCTTTCACTAAGTGGCAAAAGCATAATGATCATGTCACAATCATGTTTTTACTTTTACGTAGTGTATCCAAGTTTATTAGCGGGTATGATATTTCTGACGGATGACTCCCTATAAGATGGTACATTTCCGCTTATAGCACTAATATCTGACATATTATCAACATCTGACGGCAAATACGAACTCATTGAGTCAGTATTAGCAGATTCACGATGTTCATTAAATTGTTCACGTCTTTTCTTCCACATTTCTTGTTTGATTTTAAACTCCTCTGAAAAGTTGCTATCAAATGATTGGCTGACTGTCACAGGCTCGTCTGTCTTCGTTGACCGTCTCATAGCCGGGGTGGGAGATTTGTTTGAAAGTTTAGGTGGATTGATGTTACTTTTAGCTTTTGTGTCCTGTTTAGTGTCAGATTTAACAGTGTTTGAGTCAGCAGAGTGGAACGTTTCATCACCTTCAGTTTCAGAGTCTGTTGGAGGTATATAGCGCTGTAGCTGGGGCTCATCGGGTTCAAAGTCATCCGAGTATCCTGGAGTTTCAGTTCTTGTGGGAGGGGGTGATACTCGAGCCTGCAACATGTGTATATATATTATATAAACCTGTTGCAACAGAAACAAACACTACAAATTGAATCTGATGTTAAATGAATTTACATGTATAACAGTAGTAGTTACTTTCCTTTTTCTAATTACAAAAGGCTAGCTACACTTCTTCCCATCGACTATGGCAGATGAATTAATAGTTTTGATGTTGATTAGGTCATAATCATCTCAAATGGAGCTCTCGTGTAGTGTGAAGGGTAACTTGACTACATATGTTGGCTACAGGCTAAGATAAACAAGGTATTAACATGCAAAATGTCACCACCTGGCATTTGTTAGTTACAGACACCGACTGCCGAACACAGTCCACAAAAAGTTTGACACTATAACAATTATGTCACCACTTGTGGTGGTGCCATAAAAGATTATTTCAAAATGAGTGCAGTAAAATCAAGATATTGCAAACTGGATTATTTTGGCGCTATTTAATTTGGTGAATTGATGATTTGCGATCACCGAATAGATTCTATCTTTTAGTGACGTCACAATTAGGTCATCCAGCTTTAGATGCTTGATTTTGAGAGATTATCTTCTATATTTCGTGCTTTATTGATTTAATTTTCACGAAAGTGTTCGATTTGACTAGATCAACATTCAGCCTAAGCACATACCAAGTCTGAGATCTTACTGACATGATTAAGATAGCGGTTAAGCGCCCCCCGATTTTGACAAAAACGGGGGGCGTTTATAGGCATCGATTTTTAGTATGAATTTCATCCAAACTTTGCACATATATAGATATAGTCATGATCTAGTCAAATCGGCATACCTGGTAAATGTCCCACCCATGGTTTTCATAAAAGAAACGACAATATTTTTAGCTCAAAACTGCCACGTGTCCTCCATTTCGTGATTCCATCATGTCTAATATCATTTCTATATGACGTCACAGCAATAAGACAAAATACGTGACAACAGTAGCCATAAACAAAATTCCTGAATTCTGATCGCAAAAGGTCAATTGTATATAAGCCTTTTTAATGAATTTGGAGGATCTATATACAATATTTATGAGTGTAAATCAACCTTTTCAATTCAATAATATTGTGATTTGGCTTTATTAGTTTGTTGTACTTTAGATATAGATGTTCCTTCCATTGTCACATCAACCTCTCAAGGGCTAAAGAAGTCAGTTTTACACAAGGGCACCGTTAATCCAATTTAGAAGTGATGTTTTTGGGTTCTGTTTTTTTGCGAATTCTCATTAAAATGCAGTGTGCCAAGAGGATGCCTGCAACATGTGAAGTAAATTTTACTTTAAAAAATGTTTATCCTCTGGAACCTGATGTTGATTTATGTTAGCGAACGATGATGAAAACACCAATGAAAACAGGTGTTCGATGTGATAATATTTTATTCATACCTGAGCAGTTGTTTTTGTTTTCCCTAGTACATTATTATGTTCTGGATCATCAGCATCAAATTCATCAGAGTACCTGGGTGTGGCAGCCGTGCTTTCAAGTGTGTGTGGCGGTGAGGGGCCATCATTGGCAGGGAATCCTGGGTTATTTATATTCTTAGTTTTACCTGAATGAACATGGGAAGTACACATTTAATTACTTTTCATATCTAATAAACTATATACATAGTCTGATGTACTAAACAACTATTCCAATTTTTTTACAAGTTTTACAATGATTTTAGCTGCCCATATTTACAGGACAAAAAGTACAATATTATTCAATGTGGCCATATTAAGTTTCAAACCAAATGTCATTAGCCTCTTCCTTACCTAAAGGTGTAGGACCACCTTCTTCAGTGAGGTCATCAGTTGCATCAGTGTCACTATACTCAGACTCATTCATTGAAGCTGATGGAATATGAACCTCTATACTTCTGGAACTACGTCTACTTGGGTCACCCTGTAGATTCTCTGAATAATCCATAGAACTCTTTCTATTGTGGCTCCCCTGTAGCTCTCCTTCATAATCCACAGAGTCAATACCAGGAGCAATCCTGTCCTTATTTACTGACATAGGAGGCTCCATATGATTTGAGTTTGACTGATCTGAATGGTCCAAATCATTCACAGGAGTATTAATTGTCTGGTATTTCAACGTACCTTCAGTTGTGCTAAAGAGCTCAACATTTTTTAACATATCGACTTGTGGTGGATTTTTAGATTTTGATTTTGATTGTCTTGGTGATGGCAATGGATGGTCTGGTTGTGAGTGAGCAAGAGATTTCCTTGGTACTGGAGCAGGTTTAACAGAGGGATCTGTATGTTCCAATGTGTTGTCTCTCTTGGAGAGGGCATCCCTATATGCTTCCTCAACAGCCTGTAGAGTTTGAGATCTGGTGTTCTCCCCTGGTGTGTGATTATCTTCATCATACACATTGTCACTATGGTGACTGATTTCTGTGCTGAAGTTCAAGTGATCAAAGTTGACCTCTAGACCTTGTATTTCCTGTTTATGTTTCTCTTGTGCTTCTAATGTTTTTAATAGGGTTGGGTTATTCTTCATTAGACGCATTCGTTGTGTGTTTGTCATGGCATATTGAAGCTTAGTTTTCTTTACACCATATACAGGTGCAGTTCGTATCCAGCTTTTTGTTTTAGGGACAGGAGATTTAGGACCCATGGTTTGCATCTTTGGTCTTGCCATTCGTGATAAAAACTGATCTTGGTGCTCTTTTGTTCTATTAGGGACAGCATCATGTTTAGTTGATCCCTTAGCTTTATGGTGTTGATGCTTATGCAGAGGTTTATGCTGAGTTGGCTGCACAAGAGACTTAGTGTCAGGATAGATTGGAGGTATAGCACCTGGTTGAAGCTTTACTATTTCATTGATCAAGGCACCGAGCACTGGAAAATTACCAAATTGGGTCATCAGATTAGGACTTAAATATGGAAAAGGGTGCTGAGCTTGTTGAGCTTGAGGGTTGACTTCAATGTGTTGAACCTCAGCGCTTGGGACATGTTTAACAATTGTTTTCCTTTTTATGCTAGACCTTGGTGGTTGATTAGTGAGTGTTTGTGTAGCCTGGTTAAATTGAAACTCATTCAATGTGAGTCCAGATTCTTTTATAGAGTCAGTCTCAATTGATGATGCAAAGCTCTCATCTGATACACTGTGCTCATCATCAATTGATTGGTCTATGTCCATATCATCCCATGCCTTCTTTGGTGGCTCAATAGCTTCCTTGGTAATAGCCCTGTCATACGCTTTCATCTTTTCATATTTCATAGCTGCATCCCCCGCATGTGCATTGTAAAACAAGGGTGGTGGGCAAACAATGTTGGGAATAATTAGATCATCAACATTGTCATCAACTTCAATTGACTCGGCTTTCAAAGGTTTTGATGATTTAGTTTGGGTTGATGTGTCACTTTGAGAGGGTTTAACTTTCAAGTCGTCTTTATCAGAGAGCACAATATTAACTGGCTTAACTGCAGATTCTATATCTTGTAGTACAATGTCAGCAGTTTTGACAGCTATTTCTGCATCATTAATACTTGTTGGTTGAGCAATATCTGCAGGTTCATCCTTTATTTGGCTGGATTGTTTTGATATTGCACTGTCGGGGATGTGAGGTAACAAACTAGCACCAAGACTTAGAATCCTGTAGCCTAAGGTAATCTTCCCAATATCGCTCCCCATTAGATTCAATATTGAGAAAGTTCCCTTGTCACCATGAGAAGATGGCACGGATAATCCTAGATGTTCAATATCTGTCACAATGTTACTAATGATGTCACACAGAGAGATAGTGCAACTTCCTATCAACTTTGGAGTTGTTGGAAATGTATCAATTATCATGACATACAATGGCGTATTTGTCAGATGTCCATGTAACGTTTCTACTGCCATTTTAAACAAACATGTCTTTCCCTTCTTCATTACAAAATATCCATTACGATCTTTGAGTTCATTCAATTGTTGTGGCACTTCAAAATAACGATCAACTGTTATCTTTGAACGTATGTCATCTGCCAGTTCTTGTTCAATATGATAAATAATCAATGTGGGAAAGTCTAGAAGTCTGAATGCCACAGCTGGAAATCTGCACACTGAATTTGGAAGGATCAGTTTGTCAACAACGATTTCCAGTGAAAATAACGATTTTGGGGTTGCCATTTTCAGGGTTCTCAAGAAATTATCCAAAATCCGTCAGTATTGAATGGTGCCAATCTGTTCAGAATTACACCAAGACAAAACTAAGCACCCTAGTTGTCCAATTCCTTTCATGCTGTAGTTGTATTCCGAAGAAATTCATGAGAAATCTTGCAGAGATATTTTAGAATATTTGGGAATTCCCTCCAATTTGGAAATGAGGCTATGTGTGTCTCCGCAATTGATTGGTCGAAATCGGTCAGGTGACTACGGACAGCGATGGCGCCATGTTGAAAAATTTGCAAGAGAGGCATGATTTATGTTAGTGGATATTTTGATGTCTAGGTAATAGTAAGTGAAATCAATTTATATTTTGCATTATGTTGATCTCGATGCCATCATATTGACCAAATTTTGTTATCGAAATCTATGAACTTCTCATGATTCGTCTGTCAACAATCATCCAGGTCATTTTTCATTTTTCCTCATCATTTAGAGTCCGTACGTCATTATCCGAGCACCTTGACAAAAAAATGCTCCTCGAGTAATGAGAGTCCCGTTTTGTTTAATGATATTGATCCTATAAATAGAAACGTGTTTTTGAAGTAAAATGGTGTGAAGATTGTTGATGCATCCCTAAAAATACCGAACTAATGACCTATTAAAGGTTCAAAATTGGATGAGGGTACATCCGAGCATGTAGGGATATCCGAGCATGGGCTGTGGGGATATCCGAGCACCTCATTAAACCTCCAATAATAGCCATTATATTGTTAAACCACGACAAACATTACGTGTACTTACCTTCAAAAACTCGCCCCAACGTTTATGGTGTCTCACAAATATATTTTGTAACGAATTATTCCATGTTTCACAAGGCAGTAAATTCATCATAAAAATCGATTGAATTCACGGGCAATTCGATTTAATGATGATATAAATCGTTTTTACAATGGAAACTTCTAACAAAAACATAGATTCTGTAAAATTTGTAGTGTACTCATGTTATGTTAGGGTTTTATTCTAGTACACCCCTAAAAGTTTTCAAGTGAGACATCTATATGACAAAGTGAAAGCTAATTGATCAGATCTGGTACATCCCTTAATGTTTTAAAGTGAGACATCTATATGACACAGTGAAAGCTAATTGATCAGACATACATTGTCAAAGTGAGGAGTCTATAGCATTGTTTATTCCAGCTTTGGTTCCAGGTATTTTTCAATCTTGTTGTAAATATATATGCAATATATCCATATGCAGTCAACATCACATCTACAGGTATACATGTATGGGGATAAAGGTCCATGAGGTATGCCAGTAGACAGGTACAGCAAGGACTAGGAATAAAGTATGACTTTTTCTGAGATATGTGATCATACCTTAACTTTATCCTTTGTAATATCTATTTATAAATTATTAAGGATTAAAAACAATCATTAAATATTCATGTTCTTTATTAATTTTTGTATTCAACATGTCATCAACTAGACAATGCAATATCAGGTACTAGACCTCTAACTATTGCTTATAATTCACTTAGTCTATACTGTACATCAAGCCATAGAAACAGAAATAGAAAATGTGAATTAGGCCTATGTCAGAAACCTTTGAACACTTTTTCCTGTATTGTAGCAATTTAAATGCTGAAAGTGTGGCACTATTAATATTGGGTGAAGGCAAAGTGTGGAAGATATTTGAGAAAGATGAACACGATACTCTGTATAAAAAGGCCAAAGTCACTTTACGAAATGTTTCAGACTGTTATTTTTCTATCATGAATGCAATGTACTTACATGTTAGATTGAGGAAATACAATCTGTACAATACAATACATGTACATCACTATGGAATACAATACAATTCAATACAATCAGAGACTCTTTATGAAATTATATCAGGCTCTAATCAATTCTGATTAAAACTTGATACACTTCAGCACTTACAATGATTTAATCAGTGCTTGTGACATGTGAATTTGAATTTCTGCATCATGTACCAGGGGGGTACATATGCCCCTGCATTTTTTGCACACACTACATGATACCATGTGTGGCAAACTCCACATAAGATCCACTCACACGTCTCATCATCATTGTCCTCATCTTCCTCATCATTTATGTTGACCTTCTTACACAATTCACACACTAGTTCTTCATCATCATCATCGTCATCATCATCAGCATCATCATCACAGTCATCTTTTTTCATCAGTTTTTTTTTCATTTCAAACTCTTCTTTTATTTTCCTCTTTTCATCTCTCTCAATTTTCCTCCTCTCCTTACTTTCCATCTTCTGCTGTTTTTCCTCTTCTTTTCTTCTCTTCTGCTCAATTATCTCTGGCGATGTTAGAATTCTTGAACTGCTTATCCTTGGCCGGCTACTTGTTCTAGGTGTAAATTGTACACTTGGAAGGGAAAATTCATTCCTGACCATTTCAAGGACGTCTAGCTTCTGCAATAAAGATTGTGCAAGTATTTCAGTTGGGATATCAAAATGTAAGCTTGTTACAAGAATAACATATCAGTAAATGATAGTAGTGTATAAACTTTTTGTTGTTGACAGCATTTATGTATAGGCCTATACAGTATATCAAACTGTAGCCATTCCTGTTTATGTACCTTATTCCTCTGATGCAGAATAAATACCTTTATTTCATAACAGGTTTTCCCAGGGAAATAACACCAAAATAAAACTGGTAATCAAAAATCCTGTATCAGATCTCAGTTCAAAAATCCCGTATTGGATCCCATATCAGAATTGAATTAAAGTATAATGAAATAAATAGGTTATTGATGGTTGGGATGTAATATGGATTTTTATCTTTGGGAATATACGATATTGACCTCGGAAAATATCATATTGACACTCAGGCTATCGCCCTCGGTCAATGATATTGTCCTTGGCCAATATCATATATCCCTCGGACTAAAATCCATATTACATCCCTCCCATCAAATAACCTCTATATATCTTCAAATGGAATATACCTGTAGGTGTGGTATCAGGGGAGAGCATTAGTGCATAACTTGTAATTTTTAATTCTATTTACAGTAATTGATTTGAATGTGAGAAATATACCTGAGATTCTTGTGTTTTGGAGGTCGAAGGGCTGTTCATGGTGGATGCTATTGACACTTGTGTACTACTATTTGACACTGGTGGGGCTGAACATAAGTCAACCATCTGGTCAGGCTCCTGGAAATATCAATAAATTGAAAACTAGAGACTAGATAAATTGTGTTAATTAGTTTGCAAAGTAGTTAGCAGAATTCTAGGACTACATGTTAAAATAATACACTCCTGTACTGCTGTATATGCCAAATCAATCCCATGTTTTAATTAGTCTCAAAGATTTTTTTAATTTGTGTTTCAAATAAAAATTGATACTTACATTAAATTTGTTATATTTGATACTAACATATACCCTAGATCAAGAGATTTTAAGAATTTGAAATAAATTAAGTAGATGAGCACTCTTAAAGAGAGCGAAGCAAGCGACTGTGAAGGGTAACTAACATATGTACTTACTTCATGAAATTCACCAGAGATTGTTTCAGATGAATTTGAATCTTGTATCTCGGCTGGCTTATCCACCTGAAGAAAACAAATGAAGTAAGTATTTTACATTTTAAAAATGATTGCAGCTGTTTATCATTGTACATGTTATTTCAGGTTTACGTTTATGTGATTCAATAGACATATATCAATAAAATATACATTAAACTTGTAATTACAGTAAGACAATAGGAAATAATTGATCTGTTTAGAGCAAAAATATTTTCTAGTTCCTCTATATCCTCAATTTGTGATTCTAGTTTCTCTACAGTATATCCTGAATCTTTGATTAACTGATTGATTTTGAAATTAATTTCCACATTGTTTCAAAAAGATTTCAGACATTCAAGTGACCTTCATGGAATTTACATTTTAGCGAAATGCTGATTTGACTTACAGTTACAAGAAGCCCAGCATCTGCTAGCATCTTTTGAATTTCTTCAGCTGTTGTGGCCTCGGGTAACTGTAGTATAATGTTGTTGCTTTCATCCACTAATGCTGTGATGGGTTGCATTGGACTTATAACTGGTGATGCTAGAGAGCTACCTGTAGAACTTGTAGGAGTTGCTGGTGGGGGGAGGGCAAACATCTCAGAGGGCTTGAATGCCCTCTCTGGAATAATATCCCTGTTTAGAGGGTATATTCCAGTCGCCCTGAAGCCACTGATGATGTTCTCTTTCGTTACCGCATCATCGAATGCAAGTTTAAACAACCCAGGCCAGCTTCTTGTAGTTACCTGATTATTCGGGCTGCTGCTCAAGTAGAGGCTGCAATGCTTGTTATATGCTCTAACTAGTGGTCCAAATATCGACTTGTCAAGTGGCTGTAGCCAATGTGTCGTATGGGGTGGGAGGGCAAGTAGAAATATATTCTCCTTTGCCGCCATTTCTACGAGTTCTAAAGTTTCGTGTGATGAGTGTGAATCCAGAATAAGTAGTTGTGGTCTTTCTTCACCAATGTTTTTTAGGAAGACATTTTGGAACCAATCTTGTCCTAACAAGTCAGTCATCCAGGCCTTCTCCTGATATGTCCAGTACATCCCAGTAGGCCCATCATCTGCGAAATAGAGGATATTTGAACTAAGCGTGGATGTGCAGTTAGGCCATGGTAAGAAAGTGTTTTGTTTAGAATTTCCGAAGAAAGAAAAGTAAGAAAACACATCAATTTTAAATTGTAAAGAATGTCAAACAAACACTTTCTTACACTGGCCCTAATCCTCTATGTACATCTGTTTGCTAGATGTAAAACCATGGGCCTTCCACTTCTAGTTGAAGGCCCATGGTAAAACTGCATAAAATTACTGAGTCAAATTATACAGATTAATTATTGAGGTCACTTAAAGAATCTTATTGTACATCAGTGAATGTGATTGATTAGGCCAATAGAAATAAGTAATGATTGATAAAGCCAATAAAAAATTCAATGATTTAGTGTTTATCAGTCTATTATGATGCCTTTATTATGCTACATAGTCATCAAAGAACACAAAATTATTACAGAAATACTCAAAAAGGCCTAGGGAGCAGTTATTTAAAGAAGTTCATTGAATCAGGTGCTTTTTTAATTTTGTTTCACATGGTTAAGGGATTAAAATATATTTAATGAAAATCTGGAAAGTTAACCATATCGTTTTTAATTGTAAATGACTGCTCCCTTATCAAATGATTCTAACGTGTATTCCAGGAGGAGAGGGATTGACGTGTCTTCCCTCCTACGATAACGGTCCAAGGAATGTATTCTCCGTCAGCGTTAACCACACCAAGAATTGTCAAGGACTTCCTGCTATTTGAGACCCTTCCAGGAAGCTTTTTGATACCTAAAATATATCATAATAATGTACGGTACAACAAAAACAAAATGAGGCTAAGCACATTTTAAACTGAAGGATCTTAACTCTTTATTTACCTGTTGCCAGTTTAGCTTAGTTTTAGCAAAAATATCAAGCGGTCAATCAGCTTGTGTTCAAAGGAGACTGAGCATCTTTAAACAGATAATGTAGTTGTTAGGATGTTAAGGTTTTTTATATGTATTTAGGTTCTGCATACCTGCCATTGTGACAACCCCTGCAGGATTGTGCTCGAATGAGAGATTACTCTCATCCATATTCCATATGTTCTGAGGTTTTATGCTGTGGGTTTTGATTATTCCCTCAAGCTTATCAAAATATGTGCCAACGATTTCTTTATCCATCAGCTTGGAACGTGATGTGGATTGAGCAGTTGGTTTGCGAATTGACAAGTTCCTTCCCTCCTTTGCCATTCTTTTTTTGAGACCTTCAAACCATTCCTGAATTTGAAGTGAGAAAATGATTAGGAATTTAGTTACTGTTTCATCAGTTTTCATATTTCTGTAGTCATTATATTATTGGACTATTGTATTATTTACAATAAGTGAAACATTTTACATAGTTTTTCTTGATAAACTCGACCCAAGTTACTTCAGATGAATTGCAAACACCAAACATTCAAATATGAATTAACCCCCACCGGATTCGAACCGATACCACTTTCAACTAAGAAAGTATGCTAACCATTACACCAGAGGGTTGTTTTCAACTCATAACAATGTAAGATGTCTGCAACACAGCATGACAAAGACAATTGTCCAATAACAATAAAATAACTAATATCAAATATGAAAACCAACATGGGCAGTGTGCTTTTATACTAACACGGCCAGCAATTACGCTGCCAGATTTATTAGTGGCAAAGTTGGATTTGAGCCGCATATATCTGGCGATTCTCCCAGCCTTCATCTGGAGCTGAAGCTTTGAGATACCAAATCCAGCTTCGGAAGCGGCGATGGTCTTATCTACAAGTTCAATTTCAACTTCCCGGGGCAGAACGGGCTGTCTGCCTTTCTTGGCACCCACTTCCACCCTCCCTTTTAACCTGTCATGTATGGTTGTTTGTGGGATGCCAAACCGCCTGCCCGCAGCTCTAATTGACATTTCTTTATTAGATATAACACTGAGTGCCTCCTCCATATCTTTCTGATTCCATTTTGGAAAAACTCCCTTAACTTTCCGTGGCATACTGAACTACAAGTGAAATGAAATAGATTAGAGCTATCAAATGTTTGTCTTATATTATTGAACAAGACACATAGGCCTATTGTACATTACTAATGTTTTTGTGTACTAATATAAAAATAGGTCAAAACCTTTCAAAGTCAAAATAGAACAATGATGAATGGAACAAGTATCAATAAAAACCTGATGATATTGTCAGTAACGGTACATATATTTCATACCAGAGCAAATAAAAACATAAAATTTTCAAAATATCTCTAACGGTTTTCAAAATTTTGAGGGGATATGCGAGCATCGGTATTTGCTTAATTTGACACAAGTAATGAATAAATTATCAATCGTTTTTAAATCATAACACGCCAAAGAAGTAATTTTGTGTATAAAATTATCATAAAAGTGAGTAAATGATATCAAAATCGCATTACCTTTCCAACACAATTTTGGAACAACCCAAAATGGCCGATTTTGAAGAAGGGGGCGGGCCGGAAGTACCGTAATACAAAAAATGAAACTCGTTATAGAATTTGAAGCTCGTTATAAATTTTAAAATATTTATTTAAATTTCGAAAAAAACAAAAAAGATTCATTTTGTATTCATTTATTTTACTCAAACAGGTATTAAACTAGGTGCTCGGATTTCCCTACAATTACAACAGATATACACGGGGTGCTCGGATGTACCTGCTATCACGGATTTAGACGTACGGACTCTACTGAACACAGCTGGCTCAAAAGCCAGCTGAAGCACCGTTAGAATATACCGTCCTGTGAAGCGGTTTTCTCCAACTTCCAGCAGGCGCGCTGGAATAAGAAACGGTATTTAAGAAGATAATTGAATGTAACTTGCCCTTTTCATCACGCGTGGTGACAATAAGTCCTACTTCTTGTGTAATTGCAGTTAAAATGGAGAAATTCCAAATCTGGCGCGCACCATTTTTTAACTTTTTACGCATGCGTGCACATGCGCATTGTACTTTTATGCGCATGGGTATTACCGCTGAGAGATCACGTGACTATATCATATTTAGCTAGCGCGAGTTATTTTGTAGCAAATTTTTACTTTCGAAAGTCACGAGATCTCGCGTGACCTAAAATGGCTGGAATCTAAATTCAAAAGTTTTGTTGTCTACAAGAACATTGATTTACTACAACAACAGACTGTTGAAGGAACAAAATAAGGTAACAACAAATAAATTATGTATTGATTCAAATATATAGCGTATTATAAACGCTACTCAGTACAGCGTTTAGTCAAAATGGGCTCGATTTATTCTTTTCAAGTTCACATACATCCAACTTCCCAGAGCTGACTTCTGTCAGCTCGGTAGAGTAACTCATCATGGTGATCATGCTGAAGTGTCTGTTTATCCCACAGTCAGCATTATCCATCTAATATCTAAAAAATGCAGTCTAATATCTGAATATCTGAAGATAAATAGTGCTCACTGTGGTTTATCCCGTGCCAGGACTATAGTCCTGGACCGAGCGCTATCTTTTGCCTGTACGATTACAACTTGGGAGAATTATCTACGCCCCTTACACATAAGATACCTACCTCAATGCATTATAGAACTCAAAATGTAACTTCTAATATATTGGAACCACTGATTGTCTGGGTTAGTTGGCAGAACGGCAACATTTTTCTTTTTCATCGAGAGAGATTCCATCACTTTTCAATATGGCGGTTGGATCGAAAAGGGGATTCCCCGTTTGACTGGCTCGGAAGTGGCCCGTAAGTACCAATAAATGGAGGAATTTGACGGTTGAAATAAGTTGAATATTACATGCAAATATTGCAGATCAAAAACGAAAATTTATTCGTTCTGCCGATTAAGGTTCAGCTGGAAAGTAACATTTTGGTAAAAAATTGCTATACCTGCACATGTTATTTTCTGGTACAAAATTAAGTATGAAGGCATGTGTGTATTTCCTTGCTTTTTTCAGGAAATTATCATTACACTGTCTACTTTTAGTAAACCTGGAAACAGGTCAATGGTACCCCCTGTGTTGTCTGGAAACTTTGAAAGAAAATTTTGGAAAATAGAAAGTGTGAAATATCAGAATTTCCTGGAGTTCCCATTGGACTCCTACTAGATATTCTCAAAGAAGACCATGTAATGATACTTTCCTGAAAAAAGCAAGGCAATTGACACATGTCTTCATACTTTATTTTGTACCAGAAAATAACATGTGCTGGTATAGCAATTTTTTACCAAAATGTTACTTTCCAGCTGTACCTTAAACCAGACAATTGTGGATTCAATTACATGAAAAGAATGCTACAATACCAAAGAATCTATTGAAGTAGGTATCTTAAGTGTAAGAAGCGTAGAAAATTCTCCCATGTTGTAATCGTACAGGCAAAAGATTAAGACGTTCTCATGACTATAGTCCTGGCACAGGATAAGTGTCTGTGTCTCGCAGGGTGGGGGGTAACCAAACCCGTCTGGCCCAGTTATCTACTCCTGAGTTGTAGATCTGGGCCAGACTCGATCCAATGCAAAAAATGGGGTATTTACTCCGGAAAAAACACACTGGATTTTCAATGTATAATACGTGCTGATAAATGAATAAACATCATAAAAATCACTTACGTGTTTGTTCCTTGTATCAAACTTTGTATTTATATTAGGTTTCCATCGCTGGATGACGGCTAATAAATAAGAACGAAACGTCTAAACGCAGCAAAAAGAAAAATTCTTCTGCAATCTGTTCGTGATCTCGTAGAATATCGAGAAGTCTCGGCTGCTTATTTCGTTCAGTACTACATTCCGTCAGTTCAACAAATTGAAAAATCGTATTTAATGTCCACCATATTTCTTTCCAGTTTAAATACAACACAGACACGTCTGTTTTATAAAGTAATCTACATTTTGATAACAAATCTGCTGAACAAATCGTAATATTTGGAATGTATTGATTCCCGGGAAATGTATTTTCGTTCCATGAAAGTTTAAAAATTATCGCGTCACACTCGTGTTACGTCACATCACGTGACTTTATTCGGTGCGGAGAACTGACGAAATATTGACGAAATGTTGTGCCCATTTCAACATCAATATAACAAACAAAACACAACATTTACGCGTAAGTTATGTTCTCTTTATTTCAAATAAATACTTGGGTTTACATGGTACACGATGTTTTGGTTGGATGGCTAATAGGGAATGAATAATAAGTGATGATTCATCGACATGTTTTTTCCGGAGTAAATACCCCTTTTTTGCTTTGGACCTTGTCTGGCCCTAGATCTACGACTATCAGAATCGGGAGTAGATTACTGGGCCAGACGGGTTTGGTTAGGTGGGGGGTCTATAGCACCAACTGAAAAATCAAATAAAAAATTCCTTGTCATCTCAAAACAACAATGAAGTACATCATTTGATAGATAATTGGTACAGCAATACAAAAATATACATGCCGATGTGATTAGAGTCATACAAGTCAAGAGTTTTAGAAGGATAATATTCTGAAAAATTCGTAAAAAAACATAATTTGCTTCCACGAAAATCTTTTTGTTATCTTGACGTTTTATGATGTATACTTACCTATTTGTATAAAATTTGTGAATCAATAGTTGCTTTATAATATCCTGTGCTGTTATAGTTCAATATGAGTCACCATCATAATTTTCAGATGGATTTTCTCATGGATATTGATATCTGCACTCTCGCTACGCTCGCCTGTGCAGATATCATATCCATTCGTGGATAAAAATCATATCACTCATAAATCATAGGATATCCTCTATTTATCACATTTGAATCTGTATATTTATAATTTTGGATATTTATCACCCCTTCAAAACTTTAAGTATAGTTCATTCATGGAATTCTAGCAAATTCTTGGAACTCTGATGTCACTTGAACAGAGGGTGAGAAGAAACTTTTCTCAAGAAAATGATTGAGTTTGCATTTGGATCCAATTTCGAGAATCTGCATACTGACTAGGCAAATAGGTACACATTTGACTTCAAAAATTAAGTCATGTTAATATGAGTAAGTAGACCAAATGATTTGCTTAAGGGATTTGAACTTTTTCTAAAAATTGATTTTTTGACTGTTGGACAGAAACTGAAAAACATTTTAGTAAAATAGTTAAAAATGAAATTTTCTAAAAAGTTTTCAATATCCAGACACCTACGTGTTGGAAATAAGCACGACTGCACTGAACAAAAATTGTTGTAAGGCATAGCATTGTCTTGGCATAAACACTGCGCAAGCAGAATTAACAATCAAAAATTGTTGAATGTAGTCCTCCTTTCAACGTCTATGAATTTTAATATAATATTATGAAATATTTAGTCTTTTAGGTTTCCAAATCAAAATTCATGATGAAATCTTGCGAAAAGAAATTTGAGTCAAAGTTTTGTTGATATTAGTTCACTGCTCTCGGGGTTATCGATTAATACGTGCAGTGCAACCAATCACTTTCTCTTGATTTCCCAATCACGTGGTACAAGCAGAGGCTAATATTTGTCCGCACTTCCACGTATGGGAGTATACATCCGGGTCACTACAATGGCGAAATCTATGAATATTTGTGATGTTATGATTGTTTTGTTGAGATGGATATTTCTGAAACATAAGTAAAATCCTACAACAATACAATTGTCAATATAAGTGAATGATCTGGAAAATCGGGTAAGTCACAGCTGGCAAAATAACGTCAGAAAAGGAAATGTAATCGGTAGAGAATGATCAAAATACGGGTTGATTATGTTTTTCAAAAAAACTTGTCAGTTTCACATTTTTTTTATAAAATATCACTATTAAGGCGTCTGAACACAATTTTCTTCATCTTAATGCATGTATGTGCTTATAACTAGTGTTGTAACTCGCGGGGATTTTTGGAATCGAGTAATTCACGTAATTTTGAGTCTGAGATCGAATAAGATTCGCGATTTTTCATCAAAAAAGTAAACAAGAAAAAATCTTACCATTTCATGTCCTAAAGTCATCTCGCATAATGATTGTCTACTTATTACGCATATGCAATTTCTACTTCCGTTTATAACCAAGTCAACTCGCAGTCGTAATCTAAAAGCCGACTTGAGGGAGTAAATTGTGCAATGCCTGCAGGTCGATATATGAATTCCTGTGTCTACCTAACATTTACAACTAGATCTGTGGTTTACAACTCACTTTAAAATTGAAAGGAACCTTTTTGGTTGGGCCCTGTAGCCTACCCCCTAGGAAGTCCCTTTATGTTGAAATACCCTGGAGCGGCTGTCAGGCTGCAGCATTGACATCTCCTCTCTTTACCAGTAGTGCAGGCTTGTTGCTGTGCACTGGGACCATTTACATTAAAACATAGATCTACAGTAAAAACACACCTATGTAATTGCAGTTATTGACATAGGCATAGTATGATGATTTAAAACTACTTAGACTGACGCAACCTGGTTCCCTTGAGTGACATTTGATTAGAAACCTGGCTGCTCTTCTCTGTACCCAAATACCTATCATTATAATAATACCTATCATTATAATACCAACAACTCCGCTGTGTAGTGGTGGGATAATTACTTGCTGACTCATATATCGACCTGCAGGCATTGCACAATTTACTCCCTCAAGTCGGCTTTTAGATTACGACTGCGAGTTGACTTGGTTATAAACGGAAGTAGAAATTGCATATGCGTAATAAGTAGACAATCATTATGCGAGATGACTGACTGTAAAGAAACAACAACCCTGAAACTAAGGAGTATTTCTTAGATTAATAATCATAACATTTTTGCTAATTTCAGTATGATGAAATGGCTAAACAAGCAACATTGTTCCAATCATGGGGAAATACAGCAAATACAACAAAGAAAGACTCCAACAAGGTACATAATGACGATCCTAATGACTTCAATGATGATGACGATGATGATGCCTTGCTTGCAAGAGCCATGGAGGAAAGTCTCAAGGAGGCGGAACTACAACGCGAACAACAACGTCAGATTGACAGCCTTTTGTATAATGCTAACAAGGAACCTCAAGCAAGCACTAGTGGTGTTGGAGCCCACATAAAAGACACAAAATGCTCAAAAGATGACAATGTTAGGAGTTTAAAACAGAGCGCATCATTTAGCAAACCAAAAGAGAAAAATAAACTAGAGTTTTTAACACCAAACAGAAAAGGAACCAAAGGAATAAAACAGTCACATGTGCCAAGTAAAAATCAACCAATATCTAGTCTGTTCACTTCGGTCAAATCTGACCCACAACAAAACAGCAATGAAATCTCAGGGAAAAATATTGATGCATTTGATCTAACCAACATTGACTTCAACGATGATATCAATGATGACTTCAATGATAATATTGATGATGATGAAGTTTCAACTGTTGAACCTCCATGTACATTAGACACCACTCAAATTGAAGATCTCCCAGGGTTCGATAAATCTGCAGGCCATATATGGATTTACCCCACAAATTATCCAGTGAGGATTTACCAGTTTAATATTGTTAAACAGGCATTATTTAAAAATACTCTAGTCACCCTACCCACAGGGTTAGGAAAAACATTTATTGCTGCAGTAGTAATGTATAACTACTACAGGTGAGTTGATACGATTTTTGTTACATACCCAAATATAAAATTGCTCAAAATATTAGGTACTTTAACCTTTAGCATGCTACCGGCGAGCGTAGTCGCCCGTGCTTAACAATCCCCGGCAACTGCCGGCGACTCCAGTCGAATTTAAACTTTCAAAAACTTAACTTTTTCCCGCCGGTCTTATGATCCAATCAGATTGCCCGATTTATTTAGTCCTTACGTGGGGACTTCCTGTTGACCTAGAAATGGCGATGTTTCGAAAAATATTTATCAATTCAACGATTTAAACAGTGTTTAAGTCGTTTTTAGTGAACAAATCGTACAAAATGGCGGCCAAATACGATCACAACGAACATGTGGAGGAAATGGATCGCGATTTCGAGCTCTTTAGGCTCTTGGAAGCCGATAATGGTCATCGAAAATATAAACTAGAATATTTTCTGAACTGAAAAATGAACATTCGATCGCTGGAAATTCAGTTTTGGATTCTGACCAGACGTTGAATCTCCACAGGGGCGAAGCGGCGGATTCCGGAGGAGTATTCATGGTATATTTATGCCCAGTCCTGTTTATTTATGTAAAAAATTCATGAGAACATTTTTTTCATGAGCCAGGCCAATGTATCTTCTCTTTGTGAAAATTTTACCGAGATTCATTCAGTAGTTATTGAGATATTAATTATTTAGTCCAGGCATATCATTTTTTGCACTCTTTGAAAAATAAGTCAGTCGCGTGGGATATATTTGCTGAATTAAGTTAGCATGCAGAAGGTTAAGACCAATCAGTTGAGTGTGCATTAAATCAATTGATCACATGACTAATTTTATGAATTCACTCTAGTGACGAAACTCCACACAACTTCCAAGTATTGTTCTGTGTGTAATTTAGGTGGTATCCTCAGGGAAAGATCATTTTCATGGCTCCTACTAAACCCCTAGTGGCACAACAGATAGAGGCTTGCTATAACATAATGGGGATCCCTCCAGATGACACTGCTGAAATGACTGGTGAGTTAAATTAAATGTGCATGTATACTTTAAGCTCAGGGGCTAGCCTAGTACTGCATTCAGATGAGTTATATATAATGAGATTGAAGTAGTTTATTGGATATTTCAAGCTAAAAATGTTAGCATAGACATTGGCCTTCAATCTTTAGGATAAAACATGAAACTAATCAAACAATATTAATTTGTTATATATTATGTTCTTTCAAAAAAGGTGCAATGAATATAAGTAAGCGCAAGGATTGCTGGGGTAGTAAACGTGTGTTTTTCCTGACCCCCCAAGTTCTCACGAATGATCTGACGAGGGGTATGTGCCCTGCTGAGGATGTGAAATGCCTCGTGGCGGATGAGGCTCATAAAGCACAGGGAAACTACGCTTATTGTCAGGTGAGTTTTCATTAATTTGCCAAAAGGATATTAAATCCGATTTTATATTGTGCATATTTATGTGAATAAAAGTGAAATGATCATTATATACACACAGGGTGGCCCAGTAAATATGGGTACACTTTTATACATCTCTAATGCTTACAATATTGCTTGCATATTATAATATGTCACAAGAGAAATAATTCAATTTCCAATAGCTTATTCGTAGACATTGGTATAAATTCCCCTCCTCATAGTTTATGCTGCGAATATGATAGCATGTTTAAAGACCATGGTAAACATAAACAATGCTCTTTCTACAGATTCTTATTCTAAGATTTGACATGTTGATGATTCTCATGTTCATAGGTTGTAAAAGAGCTGTCAAAATACACCAAGAACTGTCGCATTCTAGCACTCAGCGCCACACCAGGATCTGATATTAAAGTGAGTTGAATATAGTAATGAAGCTAATGTCAACTGATAGAGTCTGATTGATGCGATTCTGAAATGTCGCATTACTAAAAAGGATCATAAAAACAAAATCATAAACACAACTGCTATAAAACAAATATTAATGCACCTGATTCCATAACAAGGAGTTGTATACTGTACATACAACATGTAATTAATAAACAGAAGTGACATTTGATCTCTAATGGATACTAGTATATGAGATGTTAAATCGTTAAACAGCATGGGGTCAACTAACACTTTCCATTACAACAAAAACATGCATTAAATAAAATTATTAAAAAGTTGTTTTATTTGTAATTGTAGGCTGTACAGCAAGTTATAAATAACCTGCTGATATCTTGTATAGAGCTACGTACTGAAGACTCCTTGGATATACAGCCATATACTCATGAGAGAAAGGTTGAGAAAGTTGTCATAAGACTGGATGATGAATTGAAGGCTGTCAAGGAACAATACATGAAGGTATAGCTGTACATGATTAACTGATAACTTACTGTATAAGTGGTATTTAATCTGAATGGTTAATTGTCAAATTATCATTTTCCTTATTTTAATTTTCCTAGTGACAAGAAATGTCCCATTGGATAACATTATGGAGATAATATTTCCGACATTTAATTGTTCGAACCTGGCAATAATTAGGCAATGGGCCAATTAAATGATTAGGCAAAATTACCACTATACAGTATGTAGATTCAGTTGACTGACCAATCAGATCTATTGTTGCAATAATACGCTCAAATATTTTTTATTTCATGATCACTGAGTAATTTATTGTATTCCTCAGGTCTTGGCTGTAACCTTGCATACAGTTATCACTCATTAATTGGTTATATTCCTTAGGTCCTGACTGTGTACATAGAGAGACTGACAAGACTAGGTGTTCTGTACAAGAAAGATCCTGGTAGTTATGCCAAGTTCCCTCTCATACAAGCAAGGGAGCAGTTTAGAGTTAACCCACCAGATAGAATCAAGGTAATGTGTAATAATGAAACGGAACACACATCAATAACCGTTCATCTATTATCTACAGTTTATTGAAATGAAAATATCGCACACAAAACTCATATACAGAACATATTTGGATTGGATTGCCTTTCTAATTATCCCATCGAACGAAGTTCGGAGGGATATAGGGAACGCCTCCGTCCGTCCGTCCGTCCGTACGTACGTCCGTCCGTCCGTACGTCCGTACGTACGTCCGTCCGTCCGTCCGTCCGGGCAATAACTCAAATACCGTTGGCTCGATTTTGTTCATATTTTGTACACATATACCCTATGAGGGTAGAAGTTCTGCTCGAAAGCCGATTTTTAAAATGGCTGCTCATTTCAAAATGGTGGCCATTTTAGTGCCGATTTTACAGTAATTTAGGTGCAATATGTAAAACTGTCATAGCAATATGTTTTAAATGTAAAAAAATTATAAAGGACATTAATAAAGCTACAAATGTAGATATTAAAAAAGCACATGGCAGCCATCTTGAAAAATGGCGGCGTTTACTCGTTATTTTACGATTTTTGCTGTAACTCGAAAAGTAGTGAAGAGATTTTGTTCATATTTGGTATGTGAATACTATAAACATTGCACACTGTCTAAAGATAGTTTTGATAGAAGGCGGCCATTTTTCAAAATGGCCGCCATTTTAACGTATTTTACTATAACTCGAAAAGTAGTGGAGCGATTTTGTTCATATTTGGTATGTGAATACTATAAGCATGGCACACTGTCTAATGACACTTTTGGTAGAAGGTGGCCATTTTTCAAAATGGCCGCCATTTTAACATATTTTACTATAACTCGAAAAGTAGTGGAGCGATTTTGTTTAAATTTGGTATGTGAATACTAAAAGCATGGCATACTGTCTAATGACACTTTTGGTAGAAGGTGGCCATTTTGAAAAATGTGTGTTATTTTACAAGTACATGTGTGCAATTTTTCCAAAATTTTATAGGTGGCTACTTAAAAGCATATTATTTCTTCTGATGACAACTTGGCTAGTGAGCAACCATTTTGAAAATGGTGGCCTTTCTGGTGTGTTGTTTTATGATATTTGCTATATATTTCGTTAGTAAAAGTGCCAGCCATTTCTGTTCGATGGGATTCGCTACGCTTTGGCGTTGCCGTTGTTCTGGTATGATATTGCATTTCCATTTTTCACAAATTTCACATTAACTTACCAACACTCTGTGTATGTTCTAATCAGATGGGCTTGCAATATTAAGACATCTAGATTGTTACATGCACATCTTAGAAAGTCATCACAGTGAAATAAAGAAATGCATGTTTCTTTCCAGAGCTACCAAAAGGGCATAGTGGAAGGTGATTTTGCATTGCTGATCTCGCTGTACCATGGCTTTGAGTTGCTCACCTTACACGGCTCCAGGTCTTTGTATATCTTCCTCAAAGGAAATCTAGAAGGTGAAAAGTCAAACAGGATGAGGACGGAGCTCACAAAAAATGCAGATTTTAACGAACTTTATGAGAAACTTACACAAAAATACAAACCACAAGATTTGTAAGTGAGATTTTGAGATGTTATGAATAAATCTTGTTTTTTGATAAGAATTATTTAAATCAAAATACTTAAAAGTAGCAGAAAAATACTTCAACTTGGAGTTAAAACATGATGTTCTATTTCATAATTATCAGCAAATGTACCTTTAAGAAAAGGTTTGCACTGATATTGTTTAAAGTACTACAAGCATGATACATAAAAGACATGTACCATCATAATCTCTGAATTTGATCAACAATTAAGATTGCAATGATTAAAATGCTTGGCAATTTCCAAATCAAATCGACTTTTTTGCCTTGTAATATTTTACAGACCCGATGATACTCAACGGCCATCCCAACTAGCAGATTATGTAAAGGGGCATCCAAAGCTTGCTAAACTTCAAAGTATTGTCTTGGAGCACTTCCAAAGTGCAGCTGGTAAGATATTAACCATTGAACAAGCTCATAGTTAATACAACTAAAGGGGAATGGATAAAGAAGAAATTGTCACAATGTTACAATATTTTTTGCCCTTATCATTAAGTCAATTGGCTATTTTAATAAGTCTAACAGAATATGTTGGGATGAATTTTGAATGAGATTGCTTCAAACATTTTACACTCTTTATCTCTTTATTCCTTTAGTTGTCATTCTTCAAATATTCATGAGGTCATTAATATCGTTTTGCACTCAAACTAAATACATTTTTTGATAACATGAAATGTTCTAGTATACAATTTTTATTTCTTGTTATTGTTAAATAGATGGCACTAGCAGTGTAGATCTCTCTCGGACAAGGATTATGATATTTTCGCAATATCGTGATAGCGTTGCTGAAATCAAAGACATGTTAAACAGACATCGCCCTCTGGTGAAGGTCATGAGCTTTATTGGGCAGTCAAGTGGCAAATCAACCAAAGGATTTTCCCAGAAAGAGCAGCTAAAAGTAAGTGCCTGATGAGGCTTGTAGATAAAGTCGTATAACGTAATCGCTATTAACATGATGTTATAGCAACCAATTTTTGTGACAAGCATCCTTTTTAAATTGCTCCCAGGCAGTTAACATATTAACGTGCATCCTGATTACAAATGTGAATTTAATAGGGAACAAAATGCAGTTTGCATTACTCACCTTTATAATCAACCAAATTGAGAGTCACTTTTGGAATATGATACTGTTTGAGGTTTCACATTCTGAATTTCTGTATATAGGTGATGCGTGAGTTCCGAGAAGGAGGCTACAATACGTTGGTGTCTACATGTGTGGGGGAGGAAGGCTTGGATATAGGTACAAACTATCTTCACTTATATTGTGTTCTGTACATTTTGGTTTGGTTTTATATTAGGCTTATGGCAAGGGAGATCTTAATTCTGACTGATTAAAACTAGAGGCTTTCGTATATTGTCTTACGAGGTCCAAATAAGATTGGTGCGATAACCTATTTATTTTGGCCAACATTTTTATGATACAATTTGGGAATTTAAGCTATTGAATACTGTTTTAGGTGATGTTGACCTGATTATCTGCTTTGATGCCCACAAGAGTCCAATACGTCTTGTCCAAAGGATGGGGCGTACAGGACGTAAGAGGGAGGGAAGGATTATCATGCTGATGACAGAGGGAAAAGAGGAAGCTGTGAGTAAACACTTTATTTTTGGAATATCAACTCGTAATATATGCAGCTGAATGTGTGAATAACGCAGATGCGAGTAGGTAGTTACCAGATTCACCACCAGGTGGCTCGTTCGGGTCAGATAGCATGGCGGGTATAGAAGAAAGTTCCCTTTAACTTAAATCACATCTATTTGCGTGGTTCAATTTTCATATAACCCTTATGTATCTAATAGTTCTGCAAATTAAAATATGTCCAGTAAAAGAAAATGTTATCTGTCCAATACAAGAAAAGATAATTCACTTTTTGTGATTTTGTAATATGGGGTCTATGGTGAATCAACCCGAACAAGAAGTCACATTTTCCCAAAAAATTAAACTTTCAAAGTTGATAGACAATTTTCGAAACCATATTTCTGGATGTACTTTTACATTGCAGATTTCAAATATGAGATCACTTTTACTGAATTTTGAATATTTAATGAGGTAAATCAAGATTATTTCTACTCCCATCTAGTCTATTCCACTAGCTCTGTTCTGGAACTATAGAATAGGGGAATAAGTTATGGAATGAGGGTCGCCTTCTTTTGAAAGATGTCATTTTTACACAAATGGATACCTTTTTATCGCATTTTGAAAAAGTGCTATATTGCCTTTGTCTTGTGTTCTAAAGCTGAAAAAGAGTATTGTATAATTTATGTACAAAAAATGTTGTATTAACTCTTTTCTGCTGAAGTTAATGCTGAAAAACGCGTAAAAATGACAGTCGTTGTCTTTAAAAAAAATCATAACTCTGAAAGTATTGGTCAGAACATAGTAAAACTATACAGTTTTGGAAAGGAAATTGTATTATCTATCTGTTTAGAGTATAAAAAAAATATACCCCCTGTCCTGTTATTAGACTCCCAAGGGTTAAAATGAAAATCCTCATCAGAATCTGAGTCAGTACTTGAGTTTGAGGAGGCATAATCATCCTCTGAGTCTGATAATGACAACTCAAAGCTTCCCCAAGATCCGATTCATCATCGGTTTCAATGTCACTTTCAGCTGGGATATTTACTATCCTATCCCGTATCGGCCGTAGTTCTGGGCATCTAGGCATTGATTGCCTACCTAGGCATCGTAATTAACTAAAGTTGAAACGATTCTTTGTTCATAAACTTGTTTATTAATCGATAAAAGCCGGAAAAATGAAAAAATTGTTAAATTTTTTTGACTGAACTACTGAGCATGCGTGGAGTTTTAATTACACTGGACGAAAAACGTCCCAGGGGCAAGTTAGGGGGCGTGACAGCTGACAATAGCAGGAGATTCAAAAAGTCGTAAAAACTGGCAAATCAGCGGAAAGGAGTTAATGTCATTGTAGCGCACTTTGAAAGGCATATGTTTTATTCTATCATTGAATTATTTTTACATAAAAATTTACTTTCCCTCAGAAGGCTTCAGAATAATGTGCGCTTGGCTTGTTCATCAGCAAATTCAATTTTTCTTACAAACTAAAACAAACAAAAATCTGATCTTGCATTTTATATCTTCTTTATATCTTTGTATATATACCCAAGTGTATGTTTTATACAACAACATCGACTATTTTGTTGCTTGTACCTTTTGGCAATGAAAACGATTGGCGCTTAATCACACGACCCTTCTGTTTAATGATGAGGTCATAATCTCCATGAAATGCCCGTAACTTAAGCTCTCGTTTGGGTGTAGTCATGAACAATGTGCGTCTTGTTTTCCATTCTTCTTTTACTAGTCTTTGCCATACCTTTCCAGCAGCATTGACCTTGTAAAAATATTTAAACAAATTAAATTCAAATTAGATAATGTGTTATCAGTTTATAATCAGTATCAGTTATAAAGGGATCTAACTAAATGGCATGATCTATTGGACTTTAACATCTGCCCTTATAGGATTTTGTAGTTCAAACAACACATACCTCAAAGTTAGGTCCATCCACTAGGGACCCATTAGGTATCCAGTGAGCCTTGTCCCAGAAGCCCCACAAGATGATTCCTCTAACAGCAGGGTGGGAGAAGAAAATCTTCATCAGTTGCTCGTATTGCACAGCTCTTAGCTTGACATCTGGTTGGTCTATATCCAATTCCGTTACCCAAATGTCAGCACCTGTCTCTGCCAGCGTGTCAAGCCTCCTCTGTAATAACACAAGTATTAAAAATAATACTGCTTAAGTAATATTATATGTTTTATGATGTCATTGACTAATGTTTATTATTTCATCAATTGATTGGCCAATATTGATTTATGTCACTAAGCAAGACACTACCTTGATGACACCTGGGCTCAGAACTTCTTTGAAGTGACATTGAATACCTATGTTCACGTCAAATCCCTGTGATTTCAACCACCTTGCTTGATTGGCTACTGCCTGGAGAGAATATATAGTGTATATTGTACTAACATGTGAAAACAACAACCCCTGTAAGTTTGTTTGCGAAGAATGATGTAATGATGGAAGATTAATTTTAGTAAAATTTTTGCATGTACAATTTATAACCAGAAATCACCTTTGAAATTTTTATGCAAGAAATTGAGATTAGCAAGTCAATATGACAAACAAGCTACACTGAAGTAGTCCTTAATCTCAGTTTATATAAAGAACAATCTGGCAGACTTGTCGTCACATGGTTAATAGCTGACTGATTTTACTCACAAATGTTATTTCTGACTTTGACACCACATTAAAGTCATTAATAAATAGCTTCACATTTTTGTCGACATCTCTTGTCTCCCTGAATATAGTAGCCAAATAGTTGGGGTCTTTTGTCTTTGTTTGGAAGAAACTACCATGGAGGTCTTCATTGTTTACATCCCAGTGCTCCAACCTGATGAAGCATGTGTAGTATTAATTAATGAATCCAAAGAAATGTCAATAGTTCTGAAATGTTACGCTAAGGGAATCTTGGGGAAAATTGTTGCATGTGTATGACTTTTGAAGAGAATACTGTACGCCCGGTATTATTCGCAAGCTTTAATTTTGCGAAAACACGGTTTCGCGGCTATTAAATTTCGCGAATTTCACAAGTTTGAAATTCATTATTCTCGGAATTCTCAAGCTAAATTACTAGTAGATGTACAGTAATTGCACTTACCTGATGTCCCGCGCTTGGAATTGGACTTCATGTTATCTTTTGCAATTTGCACTTCATTTGCAATGATGTCATCGATATCATTATTGGGCCTACTGGTGGTACTGGGCAAGATCAGCCTACGTAAAATGGACATTACTGAAGTCCTGAAGATCGTGGATATCCAATTATCGCCCAATAACACTACACAAAACGAAAATGCATCAGAGCCCCGGGTAATAACAAATTCCCAGGGATTTAATTGGCAATTTCGCGACGATAATTTTTCGCGATTTTAACACCATCGCGAAAAGCGCGAAAGTTAATCGCACGCGAATAATACCGGGCGTACAGTATACCAAGTCGTTCAATAAGTTCACGGAAAAATGCTCTCATTTCAAAGATTTTTGATATTATCTTATGTATGATACAATCACTGATAATGGAGCGTGGCTGAAGACACAACAAAACTCTAATGGAAATACTCTACCAATGTTGATAAAAAATAAGTCAATGGCTCAATTTATTATTATCTGGAACATTGCCAGCCTTAGTTCCAAAATATTTTTCTATATCTATCTGATGCCAGACTTGTCATATGACATTGAATGTTATCTTTGAATAGCTCATTTCGTCTTACCTTCCCCTGAATCTGTCAACAACTGAGTTGATTCTTCTAGTGACCTCTGACCTGACCTGCTGACCTGTCATGGGGAACAGCCAATCAGGAACCCTCTTCTCTACCCCCCACGTTACTGCATGACCTCTGACCTTGATGCTGAATAATAACAAACTAATGCAGAATATTATGCAATGTTATCATGAAATAAGAAAATTTGAAACAGATATCCTTTTTTGTTAACATATCCTTACAACTCAAACATACTCTTACCCTTTTGCTCTCATTGCATTCACAGCCTTGTCAGGTGTTTCATTGTCAACTATCCAGCCCTATAATGTAGTTTCATGTTCTTCAGTAACTTTTGTTACTTCAATTAGATGGTCAATCTAAGGCCAAAGTAAAATAAGTTTTGTTTATTCTCTCCGATTATGGTTAAGACCATATATCAATGGTAAATAATATGCTTGCAACAAAACCCTTAGAATGATTATACGTACCCCAAACTTCTCCATCTGTTTCCACTTCATAGCATTTTCAATGGTTGCCCATTTGAAGTTATCATAGAAGAAATCTCTATATTTCTGATATTTTGGATCATTTCCTCCAATATACTTGGCATTCACTGCTGAACCAAAAGCAAACTCTTGATCCTTTTGTTGAAGCTAAAAAAGTATATATAAGAAATGACTCACGTTATCCATAATAACCATAGAGAAATGTCTGGATGGGGACAAATGTATAGATTTAGATACTTTGAATGATAGAAAGAATCCGTGAATGAATACTTCGAATATCTTTTACACATTTTCAAGTTTTGAAGTCATACATTTCAGCCAAACATATATTGAAAACTCACCTGCACTGTGCAGTTTGAAGTCTTCCAGTTTGGCATGGATACTCTGCAGTTAGAGAGAGAAGTTGAATGGACAATAAAATGATTAACGTATCCACAGTAAAACCTGTATATTCCAAACACCAGTGGGACTGTCAAAAAGTGTTCAGGTTGGCAGGTGTTCATATTTCAAGAATTTTTAACATGAAAATTAAAAAAGTGTTCAGCTTAGAGAGGCGTTCAGATATGCAAGTGAGTGTTGAAATGTCAACAGTTGTGTTCATTTTATTATGGCATACAATCCCTTCCTCATAGCAAAACTAGGAAAAAAAAATTCTCTACTACAATTTTCATTAACTCCTTCCCCCTTAAGAATTTATAATCTACATTTGTGTATTTGTTGGCCAGTACAGTACCTGATATTCAGATTACTCTTCCTGTACTTGTAGATTCCACTGTTAACTCTGACTGTATAGTTCTTGTCTTCTATGATTTCTCTCAGTGATACGCTGTCAATGTTGTAGTTAATGCCTTTGTCTGCCACAGTGAAGCTCAACTTATAGCCCATGATATCCTCTGTAATACGGTTTACATCTGATCGATTCACAATTGTATTTATAAAATCTTCTCATTCTGGTAGAGATAGATAAACCCAGAGCTTTAAACAGCATCCAACCAATGGAATCATTTCACAAAAAGCATATGAAAAATCAAGGGAGGTTTAAGTGTCACTCAAATCATTGAGATATTGTCACCTATAAGAGGATAAATCCTGCTTCAGATCAGTCACAGTTGAATGAATACCTCACTTAATCACAGGTTCTACTTTTACCATAGATTCCACATGTACATATATTTTGTGAACATGCCAGCCATTTAAAACTCCCATAACATGTTTTAGCATGTTATTAACTGATATCTTACTTCTATTAGGGATTTGCACATCTCCTCCAATCTTCTGCCATGATAGACTCTGTCTCATCTGCCCTAGAGCTCCAAAGTTTCGCATTTGTGATGATCCTGATAGAAAAATACTTGAATGAAAATTGCATCATAAAATCATGTTTGCGTACATTTGTGAACTACCCATGAAAAAAAATATTTCAGTAAAGAGCGAGGGAAAGTATCGCAACAGATTTTTGACAGTAAATAATTTTTTTCTAGTAGTTTCTGGCTGTACAAAAATGAATGCATATGAAAGGCCAATGTATAATCTTTAAGAAAAATTCAAAGAATGGTTTCAAGATCAATTGGATTATCTCATAAGCCATGTTTAATCCACCCATCAACAAGCTTTTTTTTCAAAATACAATCGTCATTTTCACCATCGTCCCTCATTTTTTTTTACAATTTTCATGCAAAGTTACATTGTACTTGAACACATGTTTCATCACTTAAAATATATAAGGAACTCCTCATGTATTAGGATTATGATAATCCAATATAAGGGGATCCAATGGGGCTATGCTTTTAGTACAGCACACTCATATAAGATGTCATTAGTGTGCCATAAAGTTAGTTCAAAATGTTTTCATAAATGAATGGTTGGACTTGTTTGATCCCCTGCTGTTTGATCCCCTGTTTAATCAATGGAGCATAACCGCAGCACTTCCCAAAAAATTCTGAATACCTGTCAAGTTGACTGTTTAATGTTTGAGTGCAGTTAAACCTCTGTGTGTGTGTAAGTTGCTAAGAAATTCTAAATACCTCTCTTTATGATAATTTCTATGATGCCTTATTATAGCATTTACTTTGAACAGGTTTTCTGTATCTTGTTTATCAGTAATGATTCACGAGGTACAGTGCTATTAAAATCATAAATACAGTACAAGAATTAAGTACACCATACCTTTGCCAATAATTTTAGTAAGACAAATATTTTGATCCAGCTTCTGAAAAAACATTGAACATGTTTCTATATGATGATGTGTTATAACACACTTCCTTATTTGAGTTTATCTCCAGATTGATTATTCAAATAATGAAATGAAGGATGATATGCTAAGAATAATTTTTGCATATTCATCAATTCAAGAAATGTTATCCTAAGAAAATGTTATGAGTAACATACACTCTTACCTTAATGTTAACATTAGGGAGATTAAGCTTGCATATAAAATCGAAACGCCAACCTATGACCAATCGCCCATACAAATGCATCGCTAAATATTTTCCATTCACATTTAGGATGTGAAAACATTGCAAGCTTAAAGTCCCTATTGAGAGACTCTGAAAACCACAATCAATACCATTGAGTGTGTGGTGTATACTACCTTTATCATTATTTCTAAGATTTACAATAACATCTTTTTAGCAAAATGTCCGATTTTCTTCCATATTAATGTGAACAAATATAAACAAACATAGAATGATTCTATTGGTTGAGTCAACAATTTCAGTTATTAGGGAGGTTAAGATCGCACTATTTTGATGAACGTACACATGGAATGTGTAAACTTATGGTCCCCTATTCACAGTGTTATAGCATGACGGTTACGTCAAGGCGATTTGCAAAATTTTGCGGTAACGTTAACAAAAAATGGCGGATGGGAAAGGCAGCATGTCCTCTTTCTCGCCTGTAGGCAATATTCACAGATAAGATTTCCTTTTAAACTAGTTCCATTCGGTGACGTATGTATGGATGGTTATAAAGACTGGGTCAAATCTGCCAGGTGGTCTACAAGAAACAGAATATAATCTGTAAACCTACCGACTGAGATATCAAAGTTTATAAGTTTTGATCCATTCTCGTGTTGTCTCAGTACATGAGCCACTCAAAATATTAACTGTAAGTATAAGTAAACTGTGTACAACTACTGCAAATTCAAAATACATTATTATGGCTTGAGTAGAACATATTAGGTGGTTTCCAATGCTCAATCGGCTTTGTATGATCGTATGTAGGTTACATCTATATACCACAAGGTTTTTAGGCAATGTAGACCATGCCCTAACAACAAAAACAAAAATAAACAAATTACTAAATTTTTGTGTAGTTTTGAATTTCAAACTCGACAGTTTTTCTCTTATTTCATGTTATCCCCGGGCATCAATTTGCAAAGGCTACGTTCAAAATATACATTACTGAAAGTATCACCGAATGCGATTCTTACATAAATCGTTCATCCTGTCATTGATACACAGAAGTAGAAAATAATGCGCCAACCTTAGTTTTCTCTTCCATCGCGGCCATTTTATTGGATAAATCAGTGAACGTAGCTGTCCAACCTCGTTTTCAGAGGTGGCGTAACCGTCATGCTATAACACCGTGCTATTGACTATTTTCACATCACTGGACTCTTTTTGCCTGATTGATATAATGCCAATTGATGTAATGGTCCCCAGTTAAACCAGTTGAGAGATGGACAACATTACTGGGGGTCATAACAGTACTCGTTCATGTTCAAGTTCTCATACAAGTGTTTTACACAGTCTGAAGCCAGCTTTTACCAAGGGGTAGGAGCAGTTTTACCAAGGGCAAAGCTTTTGCCTAGGGATGAACTTTTTGACAGTTTTGGCTAAAAAATCATGCGAAGTGCTCAGATTGGTGAGAAACTGCATCATTTTGAAAGAATATCTTGGGGGAGCAGCAGCTCCCTTTATCTCTCCCCCTCTACCTGCCTACGAGCCTGTGTACTTAACCTCTCTAATGTTCATGATCAATACTAAATGTAAAATTTTCACATTTTTCATATTTCTACTATTCATATTGACCAATCCCCATTCATGTCATTTTAACAGGTCCTTAATCCCTTGTTTTCTAGTCGTATGTGCTTTTATTATTCAGTTTCACAATCTATTGTTTTGCCATGCCAGTTTTACATGTTTGCATGCTGAGTTTGTTTTATGTAATGTTTTTTGTTCCTTATATGGTTTACACATTCACTCAGTTGAGTTGGGGTGTTGCCCCATTACTAGTTAATGTTGCCTAGAGTTTGTGACTGTACATACACAAAGTATTTCAAATATATATTTTAGAAAACATTTTATATTTGATTCCCACCCAAGGGTCTTCCACTCACCCATTAACATAAACAAAACATGTACTCTAATAAAAATGCCAACAAGACTGCAAGGGAAACTTAATCTATGAATTGGACTTTGCCATATCACATGTATTAGTCCCGTGACCAGGGAGGGGGAGGAGGGGGGTTGAGAGACGACCCTCTCCCCTAGGCACATTTTCTGTCAACATCCTGCAATTTTTCACCACTTTAGTACTTTTCAAGTGATGTTCGGATGATGCTTTCATTTAATTGCTTGCACTGATGGTTTCTCTTGAAAATTCATGCACATAAGGTGATCTAGTATTTCAACACAGGACCCTGAAAGCGCTATTTGAGCTTGAAGTAGAAGTATTCATAGTATTACTGTTTGTATTATTAATCTCTATGATTTTTCAATAGGCTAACTCAGTCAGTGAATGCAGGATTAAAACACAACACACATGAGTAATTCACCCACCTATGCATGTTATTATTGAAAAACATTGCCATCTTTTACATCACTCCTAAATTATTTTTGTAAACATGCATTTTAAGAGGTTCATTTTTTCAAAAAAAACTCAAAAACAAACTTCATGGAGTTCCTTACATATTTTACTTGATGAAACATGTGTTCAAGTACAATGTAACTTTGCATGAAAAATTGTAAAAAAAATGAGGGACGATGGTGAAAATGACGAATGTATTTTGAAAAAGCTTGTTGATGGGTGGATTAAACATGGATTATAAGATAATCCAATTGATCTGGAAACTATTCTTTGAACTTTTCTTGAAGATTATAGATTCGCCTTTCCAAAGCATTTACTTTTTACAGCCAGAAACTACTCACAAAAAAATTATCAACTGTCAAAATTATCAAAAGTCTGTTGCGATACTTTCCCTGCTCCTTTGACGACTTTGGATTTTCTGCAAATTGTAGAATATTTTTGAAAGAACATTAATATTGTTGCATTTCTGTCTTTAGATATCTTTTGCCTTTACATATTTTATTCTCTAAGTATTTTATATCTTCAATAACTGAGAACTTACCATCTTTGTACTTTATAGTTAGTTTTGCATATGTTGGAGACCACAGTTGACCAGCAATATTGTTGGTATGAGTTATATACGTTTCCAGGAAGTAGTTAGAGTTTGGCTTTAGGGCCACATCTTGTGATATTCCAGCCCAAGTCTGCCTATCACAAGATACAAATCATTGGACAAATGTGCATGTAGATCAGTATAAAAGCTTTAGCATTCTTGATATTTGGCTTGTGTTGTTTCATACCATCACCTGCATATTCTAAATGTTTATTTTTCAATCAGATTTGTGTTTGAATAGAAATACTTATTTTTGATCACGCTATACAGGGTGTCAAATAAGTTCCAACCCCATTCTGCAGCCAAAACCCAAATCTTTGGTACCAAGTGTGATATATCAGTGGAAAGATTATCCAAAGTTTTATACCTGTTAATCAGTGTCACCTATCAAGTAAGGTGACCATTGACCTTAAAATATGGCAGGGTTTTAAAACTTTGTTGATGGTATCATCATCTAGTAACCAATCTAAATGTGTTCTCTCTAGTTCAACCCAAAAGAGAAGTGTCATATTCAGTTATTATTATTCAAGGGAATATACTAACTTTCTATCATAGGCTCTTCCAGCATATGCTCCTGTGTATTTGGCATTTGTACGAGTTATAGAGCAGCCAAACTTGTACCATTCTCCGCCTTTCAGTTCACTTTCAAACCCACCATTCTTGATAATCTCAGGCCCCAAAGTGTAGAATCCTGCAGCTAAATGGAAACATAAAACTGATGTCAGTAATTGACTCAGCATATTGTCTGTTCAGATATTATCAGTTTGATTTGGTATATAGAAGGTAGCTAGTCTGTGTTATATTTGCTTCATATTAAGGTCTATGTTCAGTATCTCTTCTTTATCTCATCATTTAGATATAAGTTTCGGACACTTATGCATCCTGGATGACATAACATGTTATCGATCTTAATCAAAGGGGCAAATGAAATTTTGAAGAAGTTTTGAAAGCAATGTTTTGTGAATGATATCCCCCTTTTTCAAATAAGGCATATACATCTAAACTCATCTGGCTTAAGCTAGGCAGTGTAGTCCATATACGTGGTTACAGCAACCACATCCCTTGTACTTTGACAAGTAGATGCTCTACATGATGTACATACAATTTTAACAATAGTTAATTTTTCATGACTTGTATTTTCAGATCTACAATCAAAGCCAGTACAGCAAGAGGACCATCCACAAAGCTATTCTCAATGGTAAAAAGTCCCTGAAGTACAATATGAACACCCCACACATGATACCAGATGGGTTGAACCCAAAGCCTCATAAAATGTACATCACAGTGGATAAAACCTACAGAGCTGGCTCTAAAGGTCTCAAGGTCACAGAGAAGAAAGCGCAGAAGACAATAAGTGGCTTGATTGGAGCTAAGGGCAAAGGTGAATAATATACAGTGTCAATTAGATATTATTCACTCCAGCTGTGCTATATACTAGTGTTTGGTACATGTATAACATAGATAGAGATTATATAATGTATTGTTTCTCCTGATATTATTTATCAACTTGTACATCGAATGTCTAGTCCAAAAGCCTGATCTTCAGTGTTGTGGTTTTTGCAAGAAAAAAATTATTGCTACTGCACCAAGTATCCATTGCTAAAATTATGTTATATTCTGTAGGTAAAAGATCCAAAGCTGATGTAGAGAGTCCATTTCTGAATGATGAGGAGTTGGCATATTGGCACAATCATTTGAGGGTCGATAATCCTGAGGAGACACCCCACCTCACAGCTACATCAAGAATGCTTACTTTACCACCTTATAATGTAAGTATCTGTTCATGTCCTTTTTATCAGAAAACTGAGGTAAATGAAATAGGGCTATTTGAATGCAGCAGTGGAAAAGCAAAGAGTACATTATATATTCTGGTCATACAATAAACAAAATACTTTAAACATTTTAATATTTTTTGTAACGCACAATTGGGGGTCAAGGCTAACTGACAAAAATCATTTGAATGTTTCCTCCTGGATGGTTCCTAGTCAGCTTGGACCCTAGTTAACTCGGACCTTATTTGTTTGGACCCTAGTCAACTCAGACCCTATAAGTGGTGATTTGCCTTTTGACAAATGGTTAGCCGCTTTAAAAGAATAAGTAATTCCTTCAGGGGTTTTAAAGATCTCCATTATGGGTGACCAAAATTAGTTGAAAGCAGTGGATCGCACGAGTTTTCCCTATGGGAAAATAACATTTGAAATATTGTTTTCCACTTTCTCTAAGAAGAATCACTTATCCCTTTAAAGGGGTTAACTGTGTGTCAAAAAGCAACATATTGATGATGCAACAAAAATTGAAAAAGCAAGGGTGGAAAGGGTTGAAAATCAGAAGAACACTTCAGAAAAAAAACATATGGGTGGGTTGTTTGCATCTCCCCTGTCTCAAAGTCGACATTATTTTATAAACTCTGAGAGTTTTTCCTGGAGATAATGTATTGGCCTAGCATATGCAGTTATAATCTTCAGAAATAGCCAAAATCCAACATGTGACTGTCCAAAATCTCCCTCCTCTCTCCCTCCTCCTTTGGTTAAGAACATGATAGTAAAGTGCAGTATAATAATAGGCCTGTAATGTTTGTACATGTGTATTGAATTCTGCTTATGTCATTATTAGATATATTGCGTGAATAATGTTTTGTATTTACCAAAGGTTAGTAACTCGGTATCCTAGGTCAAAACTAGGAAGGAAATAATTGGCAAATATTTACACAGCATACATACAGGCTCACTAATATCACAAATTGTTTAATAAATTCTAAAATGATGGTTTCCTACTGTCAAATTTGTTATATTTGATTATGTTTATTAATATAACTGGATTATATTGAAACAGTCATGAAGACCAACTAATTTGTTCACTTTGTTGACAAAGGGCTCTATCAAGACTCCCAGGCTAAATTCAAATACAGAGGCATATTGTTGATACTTAATGATTTCATTTTTTATGCTTCCACCAAGCACACCCTTGGTATACACAACTACTCATAGTGGGCATGGTTAGGGAAATTACATTTGAATTACCCACAACTTGCTATAGATATCGATCTTCTTCCTTTTTTGAAATGACATTGAGAAGATATTATTGGCTCACATGGCAAACATATGGAACACTTGTCTGTCTAAACCCATGGGTGTGTAGTCAGAAATGTGCAAACCCTACACCTTAGACTAACGAAATAAGAATGACAAAAGGAAGAAGGAAGTCTACAGACCCTACACCATAGACTAAGGTTTTAAGAAAGACAAAAAGAAGAAGGAAGATTAAGACAACAAGAATAACAACAACAGAAGCGAAGAAGAAATAAGACAAAGAAAATAACAACAGAAACATGATAACATTGTTTTCCATATGACTGATTGTGTCTTATGATTCTTCTTTTTCTAGCTATGTTTTGTAGCACTCTACTCTTTTCCCCTTTGGCCTTTGTGCTTACATGTTTATGATATGTTCCCCTAAGATTTAACTATGTTCCCTTAAGTATTAATGTGAAATTTTACCACTTCATCAGTAATCACTTACAGCTTCAACTACCAGTCATTGTAATGAAGCATCTCTGCATCATATTACTTGTCATTTTGGCATTGAGTCTTGAAATGTGTCAAGCTAAAGTTAAATACAAGATTGGAAAACATAGACCATTCCGGGTCATGACGATGAAATACAAACCAATAAAGGAAACTGAGCCAGCAAAGAAACCGGCAAAGAAACCATCAAAAAAGAAGGGAAAGAAGTCTAAAGATTTAGAAGTGAAACCAAAAGAATTGTTAAGTTCCATTGAGGAGGATCAGAAGGTTCTGATGTCAGATCCAGTCTTCCTGGAACTCGTTGAAAGATTGGAAGCAACGTTGAGTGGATTATAGATACCTAAGACAGGTGAGCTTATTTCATTAAAGAGAGTATCAGATTAAGTGAGCAACCTTTACAAAAAATTGTCTCAATTTAAGAATATTTTGGGCTCATATCTTTCCTTGTCATATCTTTTGCATAAACATCTAAATAGTTCATACTTAATATGAGTAAATTTTAAGATTTTTACAATAATGTGTTTATTTCTCTATAAATTTGGTGTCCACATTTATAATTAAAGAGTGTCGGACAAAATTGTGGCATATTGATATTGTGCACTTTGAATCTTAAATAACCTTACCAAATCTAAATACATTTTTAAATCGATTTTATGATTATTTTTATTTTGGAATTCGAAGTCGTAGTTAAACTGTTATTTCTTTTTGTTTCAGATCACATCAGCTGTGAATCAGAGAGTGGCATTAATTTAAAAGCAGAACCTCATCTACATTTACTGGACAAAATATGTAGCCCATTAATGTTAACATATTCCCGTAGGACTTCGAGACAAACTATAATGAACCATATCTGTTACATAGACTGTTTTACAATACTCTAAAAGATGACAAGATTTAACACTTCTAAGTTTTCTGATTATTTGCTCATATTGAGTATTTCAACAAAATTTGGAAACAGGCCGTATTTAGCAAACATTGTTAGGGAACTACACAGGAAATCTATTGAACACCCTCTTTTGTGTAACTTGAACTTTAATAGATGCAAAAGCAGACAAAAGTGCTAAGATCTGATTAGGTTTTGAAGAATTTAAACCATGGCCATTTTTGCTCCTCAAGTGTGATATATCACTGTTTGTCTTGATCAATCTGTTTTACATTTAGATACAATAAATATATATTGTTCTAGTATAATTATTGTGTTTTGTTCACGTTTCATTCATTTAGGTTCTTCTCTCATGTCAGACTCTTTTTTTTTTTTTTTTCAATTCAATTCAATTATTTTTATTTCATAATTCTTATATAATATACACTATAAAAACAAGCCGCTAGACACCCTAGTGGGTATATGTTGCGGTTTAACAGAAATCATTAAAATGACAACTAGACTACATATAAAAGAAAACACTTATATTATGTTACATGTAGGTATATAAAAATGGTATTAACAATTAATCTAAGGATGTACAATGTAAAAATGTTACAAAAATCGGGTACCAGTATAAAATCAACAGTATAGTATGATATTGGTATTATACATTATCGATAGATGAGTAGTTTTTTATATGAAGATTTGAAAATATTTAGAGTGGAGCATTTTTTAATATCATGTGGTAGAGCATTCCAAAGATTGGAACCCAGATAGCGAAGAGAAAGTTTAGAGCATTTAGGGATATGAAAATAATGCAATTGTCTTGTGTAATGATGATGAATATTAATGTTGATATCAAACAAGTCTTGAAATAGATTTTTTGGAAGACTGGGGTGCTTATTAAAGATTTTGTACATGAACTGACCAGTACAATATCTGTTGACATCAAAAATATTTAATATTCTAAGATCTTTAAATAGGGGAGCGGAGTGAGAAAGTCTATCCTTATTTAAAGCTAGCCTTAAGAATTGTTTCTGCAGTTTATGTAGACGATCATAAAATGATTTAAATGTGTTACCCCAGATTATGTTGCAATAATTTAATTGAGAGTGTATCAATGAGTAGTAAATTGTTTTGAAACTGTCTATTTGAAGTAGATGTTTAATGTGATAAAGAGAACCAATGACGCGAGAAATCTTTGTTTCAACAGATTTTATGTGCTCTTTAAATTTCAAGTTTTTATCAATAATAATTCCAAGAAAGTCAATTTTTCCCGGAAATTTATGTTCTCATTGTGTATTTTAAGATTCAGATTTGTTTGATTTTTTGGGGTCCAAATAGAATAGCATTGGTTTTGCCAATATTAAGTGAAAGTTTGTTTGCTTTTATCCAGTCATCTATTGAATTCAAGTTTGCATTAGTTCTAGTCATAAGTTCATTTAAATCATAATCACTATCAAGAAGATTGGTGTCATCAGCAAACATAATAAATTTTAGATTAGGGGCAACAAAAGGCAGATCATTTATGTAAAGAATAAATAATAGTGGTCCAAGTACCGAGCCCTGCGGAACACCACAATTTAGAGATGATTGTTTAGATTCATAATTGTTAATGGTGACATATTGTTTGCGGTCTTTTAAATAACTTTCAAACCAGGACTTAGCTATTCCTCTGATGCCATAATATTCAAGTTACCACATGATACCACATCCATCAATATTAGGGACATTAGTAAAAATATTATCTATAAGAGTTGCAGTCTTGTCAGTAATTCTTGTCGGCCTATATATTAGTGGGACATGGTTGAATGAATAAAACTGGTTCAGAAAATCATGTGTGTGTTCATGAGATTCAACCTTAAGTAAATCAATGTTGAAGTCACCCATGATGTAAGATAATTTACCCTCATCTGCTATTTTATTCATATAATCACCCAAGTCACTATTAAAATGTGACACATCAACACCAGGTGGGTTATATATGACAGTAATAATGATATTTTTTGAGTTTTGACTGATTAATTCAATAGCTACTGATTCACACTCTAGATTATCAACCCTAAGGTCATTGCGTGTAATATACTGCAAGGAGTTGTGAACATTTATACAGACTCTAATGAGTTAAGCTAATAAAATGGTATGTGAAGATACAGGAGTCCCACAATGCTTATTATATTCAATCATTTTTCTGTCACCACCAAACAGTATTGACACAAAACTGGTTGTACTTTTTGATTTATCCTTTCTGTATTGGTATTTTAAAACTGATAGGTGTTCAACATTATGGCACTTCTATGTGCTTCCATATCTGTTTCGGCTATAGTCCAAACCATGGTCTGCAGTCTAACATGGCTATATTTGTTCCGTGTCATATAGGACTTATTGCTCTATATTTTGCTTTATATAGAGCTATGTTTGCCCACAGGGTGAGCCTTTGGAATTGCCCACTTATCAATATTTGGTCAAAATTGTTGAAAGATGTAAATACAGACAATTGGGCAATTTCATAGTGTTACCTTGTTAAAACCAAACTGAAAAAACTTCTTGAATCAAGATGGATTAAAAATTTACAGATTTTAAAAATTGCAAATTATACTTTTATTATAAGATATTTTGGTTGATTGTATATGTTAGATTACTGACACTCCCTCTCCTCAATTCTTAAACATATTTATAATGCTGTGCTGTTTCGGGAAATTAACTTACCTAATGTTACCTAAATACAAATGTAGTTGAATACATAATACTTAAAAAGGTCAAAGATTTGATATTTTGAACAAAACAGATGAAATCAGGATTAAGCACCTTGTTAAAAATCTTGGAGCATGAGACGAAATGTGAATGTTTTTTCAAAAGGCTAACTCCATTCTTATTCTCCCATTGACATTTGTTTGTTCCAGCAAAATGGAGGTGAAGATGGGACAATGGAGGGGACAATTGAGATGACATTGTCATTAAATGAATGGATGCCATGGCAGAACCAGTTGCAACCTACATACAGATCAGGGCACTCTATCAAGTCAAATCATCTTGTAGAACTCATTCAGTTTGCTGAATTGCAAGGTCAGTCTAATGAGTTACGGTTGTTATTTACACATGAAAAGTGACTTAATTGAAGGTAGATTTGATGAAAATTTGAAGTCAAATGCACTAAGTATTTTTGATTGTGAAATTTAAGTTTAGTTCAAAATATCTGTAGGCACCATTTCTTGAACCCTAAAATTCAGCCAAATTAGTTTTTTACCATCCAGCAAAATATTGATTTTGTCATAAACTATGCACCTCCAACAGAGTTGGTATATAGCTGAAACATCATGATTAACAACTCCCAATGCAAAAATATTAAGGAACACTTTACTTGTCCATCCTAACTGACAGTGCCTCTTTAAGATATAATGAAATATAATTGATGAGATTTTAATTTACATTTCAGCAAGTATTGGTGAAGATGTTGATCATTATGGGATGGAAATGGCAACATTTCTTGATGAGGATGACATCATCAGACCTGACACTCAGCGAGGAATAATGAAATATTGCACCGGTGCAAAGAACAAAAGTGCAGAATCTCCAAAAACACACAAAAACAAACGTCTGAGTGATAAACTTGCAGCGTTGAATTCCGACAGCCAATCAGATAGCGACAATGAGTTCCCTGCATTCAACACCAAAACAAATCAAAATATTTCAAACGAAAAACACACTGATATTGATCAAAATGAAAAACAGAAGGATCTGAGTGATGAAAACTCTAGAGGCTTAACAGAGGAGGTGCTTACCATAAAGAGAAAGACAGCAAAGAAGAGGAGATCAAGTGATGCTCTGAACAGATCATTCATACGGTTGATTGAGGAAGATGACACTGGGGATTTTATGGAAGATGACACAAACACTAATAACAATGATTTCAAAGACACTGGTGACCCTCCTAAATGTATTACAAATTCAGATACTATACAGAACCTAAATAGAGTCAAACAAAATATAAAACCAGTCAAACATGCAAAACTATCAAAAAGTCCCACTGGTGAAGACAAAGATATCTCTCTATCACAGTTTTTCCCAAGTTTCACCCCACACAACCCATTCAGATCTAATCCATCAGCTGACAACAAATCTAACTTATGCAGTGAATCAAAAGAATGTGCAGTAAAGACCCCTCCTGCAATAGAAGATCTGGATATTGCCATGGAAACTCTTGACAACAGAAATAATTTATCTCAGGTTGACTTTCTTGACTTGGTTGATGTCTGGGATGAACAGATTGACACCACAACTATTGAACCAAACTCAAAACGTAAAAGCTTTGAAATCGGATTATCCAAGGACTCTAAAGAAACATCAAAGATCGGAAAAGGTGATGCATTTCACGCCCCAAAAAGGAAGGCTTCTATTTGTTCTGATCCTCTTAAACTGTCAACAAGTGTTCCTTTGGAAGATGTCTCTATGGGAGTAGATGACACTATTGATGAACTAAATGATCCAATAGATGAGGTCACGCATCCCATGGATGATTACTTGAATAACCTTAATGATGACATTGATAGTCCAACAGATGATATCAGTCATATTCATAATAATTCTTCAGATGAACTCATTAACCAGAATGATGCAGTATTAGATGATGATGTAACAACTGTGGAGACAGATGAAGTCAATAAAAAGCCTTTATTTAAATCTATAATGAATACAACAAAATCCAGCGATACTTCAGTGACTCCTGCAAAATCATCAAAAAGTATCTATAGTGCAAAGAATGATAAAGATACTGGAATCGTACAAACAGAAAGTGCACAAGTAAGACCCAAAGATATTGGGATAAGCTTTGATATGACTGGATTCGATGAAGATTGGAGCGCAGATAGTGATATCCTAAATAAGCCCATTGACTCACACGATGAAGTACAATTTGATAATAAATGTAAAAATCATACATTACAAACTAGCACACCAGTCAGTAAAGTTAGTAACAAGGAAAAAAGTCTCCGTAAATCATTGGCCAGTAAACTATCATCTAAGAAAGAGTCTTTGGGAAAGAATGACAGAAGATCTGAAAGTAAAGAAAATGCCCATAATATTTCCCAACCTTATATTCATGAATCACATGCCTCTTTTTTTGATGAAGATCCAGATGATTTGATCTTCGCTGCAATGGCTACTCCTGGTGCTCAAGCAAAAAAGTCAAATCTGAGAAAAACACCAAATGGTAAATCACAATTAGACACAACACAAATTAGCTTCACCCAAGCCCTAGCTTGTGTTCACAGTAGTCTAGAGACTGACAATGAGTCGTTTGTGGAGCAACCTGGCCAGCTTCGTAATATCAAGGAGAATACTCCGCTCAAAAGTAATACACGATCACAGAAATGTGAACCTAAGAATTCAGATAATATTGGAAATGTTTCCATGAAGCTAACTAGTGATGATAGCAATTATACTATGGATGACGATCAACCAATATTTGACCTTGGATTTGACCTTGGAGATGATAAACCCAAGTTTGACCTTGGATTCGACCTCAGTGACCTTGATGATGATGATGATGACATCATCCCTCCATCCCCACCAAGTAGCACACAACCTTTTTCCCAAAAGTCCTTCAGGAGTACTAGTCATAATAACAGTCAAAATAGTATCACTGAGGTCAAAAATGAAAAACCTAAGGTAAAAAGGAAGGTTAACACCAAAATCTCAGTTGAGCCATTAAAACTGAATATTCCTTCTTATGAGTTTGATTTAGTAGCTAACAGCAGTGAATCTGAGGCCTTAATATCTCCTTCTTTAATTCAGCCTAAACAGAAGCAGACCACTCAAAATCCTTACAAAATGAATCAAGATCAGTGCACAACAAATAAATTGATGTCTAAATTATCATTAAAACGAAAAAGTGCAAGCCCAAAAGATGAAGTCAAAGACATGGAGGATAAGAAACTGAAACTAAGTGAGTCATTTTTACAAAATGAACTGGATGTTGCAAAACAACTAAATATGGATGTATCAATGGAGATGTTTCAAAATGAAATTAAGATACCAGAAAAGTTCCTGAAACCTAGGATGGCTTCCCCCACCATCTTCACAAGTGTTCAGTCCAGTCAAGGTTTCAATAATTCACCTCCAATAGCTATAGTTTCACCTCAAACAAGGACAGCCATTTTGAACCATGATTACATTGAATCTGAATCGGAGCCAAAATCTCCAATATTTTATCAGTCTCAAATGAAAGAGCATGAGGTATCAAAATGTGACGCTCTAGTTCATGATGGCTTAGATGTTCATATGAAAGCTCCCCTTGCTGAACCACATGTCCCCCAAGTTGAAACAGTTGATTCTGATACTGAAATGACTGATTCTGATTCTCCCATATTCCAATCCCAAGTGAAGAAGAAGGGTATTTCACCACCAATCGGCAAAGTTGTTCCAATGGAAAGAACAAGTTCTGATAGTGAAGATGATGAAATTGTAGCTGTTAGACGTAAGAAAGTCGCAGTGTTGATGTCTCCAGATACTCCTGATGTTTCCATGCACCAACATTGTAAGTAGTCTACATCTGTTTTTTTCTCTAAGCAGTTTCAAAAAGGCCATTTAATGTGTGACTTACAGTGTTAAATCTACAAGAAAACAAACAAGCTCACTATCATAGATATACTTAAGCCCTCCATCTATCAGTTAATTCATCCATTTAGATTCTAACTCAAGTAGGCTACTAATAAAAGATTTTGTCCAAAAGATATTCCCCCAAAAATAAATGTGAACTGTTTTTTTCTAACCTAATAACCATATTCAAATAAATACTCCAATTCACGATAATAGTTCAGGTGGTAATTTACATAAATATCTCTCATGGAAGGGACAAATTCTGATAAAACTAGTGTGAATCTTGACAAAGTGACAGTTTCTCAGCTTCAGATCTTCCATCAGCCCTCAAGTATAGTTATATGATCCAATCTATTCAATAATCAGAAAGATAATCGGAGATTCATTAAGTAACATTATTTTTTTTTTTTCGATCTTCAATGGCGTCTGAGCAGTTTCTGGGAAATCAGTGACGTCACTGATATTGGACGGCATTTTCAAGTACAGCTTTCTTCGGATTTCGGGATTATTGTTCAAAAAGCCTTGTTGTATATCTTAATTGCCATACATATCTCTTGTTGTGGAAATGCAAGTCTACATAAATGTTTGATAAAGCCGCTGTGCAGCATTGAAAATCGCACTCCTGTGTAATCCAATGGGAAAAACCCGAATGTAGATGAAGTTGTACTCTATGAGAGCTCTTCAAACGGGAGGTAACTGAACTAAACTTAACTTTATTGTGTATTGGAGTATTGATAAATCTCCAGACAAAGTAGAGCTAAAGAGCAACCTTATGAATAGCATTTGAATATTGTTGTTTCAGCGGTCAGAAGGGATGTAACAGTGTGTGATTCACCAATGGACACTCCTATCAGACCAGTGGCTATAAAGGGAAAGGTGAGTACTTTTATCTTTTCTATTGATTACCGTATTCGATGTAATAAGGGCCAAACCCTAATAAACACCCACCTGGCTATAAAGGGGAAGGTGAGTAGTCACATATTATCTGTTAATTATATTAGAAAGTAAGATGGCAAAAACTAGACCGAGGAAGCCTTGTAAAGAATTGGTCAAATACTGAGTGTCCCAAAAGTAGATTGTTGAATAACTGTAAACCTGCTTTTGGGCCACCCTGTCAACTAGAAATTATCAGCCCTTCAGTCTTAAATCTCTTGTCTGATTTTTTAGTCTTTTTTATGGCATTTTGATGATTCAATGGACAGTGTATATTCATTTAGTGAAATTGAATCACCACTGAAACCACCAGATGAATTGAAGTTACTTCATTAATTACCAATTCTCATTGAAATCCCTAATGATATTCACTTCATGATAAAACTGTTGTTCAGTCTATTCACTACATTATAATTTGCTCAAAATAGACTTAAGACACTAAGATGCTACCCTCCAAATTTGATATTACTTTGATATAATTTTGATGAAATATTCAGAAATTTTCTTGTTCAACTGGCGAAGTAATTGTATAGTGTAAACTTTGGCGTTTAGAAATACTAAAGCACTTGTAATCGGATTGTTCCAACAGTCTACAAGTTGACACATTTGTGTAAAAATAACATTTGGAAAATAAATGGAAAAAGTAAAATCAGTATACAGTGAACCTAGTGTATACAAAAACCTTTCCTATCTGAATATCTTGTTATCTCCCATTGATATTGACAGGTTTTACTAAATTAGTAAGCTGTTACAATGTTTTTTATTAGTCACAGAGACAGCTTGTGTCTGATGAAGATGATACTCCAGTGAGAGGTGTCAGAAAACCTCTAGTGCGCACGTTAGATCTTTCGCACACTTCAGATGATGACGATTTTGAAGGTAATTACTGATTTCTATTTATTAAATGTATAGCCTTAATATATTTTTTTTTGTTAAAATTTTCATTTATGTCTTTTTCAATAATATATTTGTCAAAAGTTCGTCAATTTTGCCAGAATACATCAGAATTAACCCATATGTTGACTGGTGTTAAAAATGGCTACAACTGTCATTTAATGACGTGTAATCTTATTTAACTGCATATGTTTAATATCATTAATTTTGTATCTAGGATATCTAGATGAAGGACCTGTAGCTAGTTAGTTTCTGGTGGGATAACATAACACATAATAACAATCAAAAAGTTACCATAAGCTGGAATAGAAATAGATTAGTCCTAGATTACGCAACAGACCCTTTGTATTTTTTTATCCTATATATATTTTTTTTTATTTATCCTGTGGTGGTTGGAGATGTACTTGTATTTAATTCCTTGCATTAAAAAAGATGACACAAAGATGGTTAAGTTCACCAATTGTGAAGTTTTTGTGAACCAGAATTGTTATTATCACCAACTTATTGTGGACAGATTTCGACGTTCAGCTGTTGATGTCTGTAAGAAATGGCACGTAGTGACATTTTGTATGTTAATGCCTTTTTTGTCACTGTATGATCATAACAAAAATAAATAAAATAAATATTTGTGTACATTATAGCATGTCATTTTTTTGTGTGTAATTCAAAAAAATGTTGAAATGATCATTGAATTATTTAAGAATAATTCTTGATTTAAGTCATTCATATTAGATATTTTTCATTCTGGAAATGACAATGAATTGTAAAAAAGATGCATCCTAATCCTAGAATTATTCTGAGTGATACAAATGATATAAAAACAATTTTTGTTTTTACATTCTATCAGTTTGAGAAAAAACAAAGTAAATTGATGAAATTATAAATCTTAATACCAGAATTATTTAGATAAACCCTTACACAAAAGGCATTATCTGTTTATTCTGAGATGACATGACATTTTGATCTTAATCAGCAATGATGATGTAATATAATATATTTGAGCATGTCATTATGACATAAAGATTTGTCTATTGACGTCAAGCCAGGCGTCTAGCCTATTGTCATAAATTATTGTTTTTTTCAATTGACACAAGTGTTTCATAACCATATTGCTTGAATACATTCTTTTTAATTCAGATGTCTGGCAAACTTCTCGGAAAGAAATAAATGCAAGCAGTGTAACAGATATACCTTTCAAGACAAAGAAATCTGTAAGTAAAATATTTACGTAGATATTTAAGGTTTAAAACACTCAAACTTCAATAAGGACCAAGGTATAAATCAGTACATTAATCAGTCCATCATATATAGGGAGGATATAAATCTGAAATTCTATTATTAATGTTTTGGACATTGAAATATCTTATTAATCCTGAAGTTTCCCAAGGACAACGATGTTAAACAAGCCATATTTAGCCAGTTGATTTGTCATTGCACATTTTCCAACATGTATATGTAGTACAATGGAAACATTTTGTTCATATCTCTTATATATCAAACCTATACACATGCTGATATCAATTTGGAATAACATATCACTTACAATATACGTTTGGGAAGAAATATCATTGTGTTACTGTATATATTTATTTCCAAATCTTTCTGTTTATATTTTATCTTACTGTATTTATTTATTTCCATATCTTAGTGTATATATTGATTTCGAAATCTTATGACATACATGCATAATATTATTTTTCATTCAAATAGAAACATTCTGCAGCTGCAAGGGGATTTCTAGATACAGAAGCTGAGCTTTCAGGGGATGATATTTCTACTGATGATGATCTGGATGAATATGATGAGCTGGATTCAAGTTTCATCAATGATGAATGCAGCCAATCCCAGGCTTTATCTCAAGGTATATTCCTCTACTACGAATGTTGCTTCATTTCACATTTTAATTTTTTAAGTTAGTACATTATTAGCCAAGTGATGCATAGCCAAAGAGAAAAGCGATTCAGATTGTTCTTACGTAGATGTCAAAGTTAGGTCTTTGAACTCATATTGATTTTCATTGTCTAATCTCATTCTGTTTTTAGTTCATCACTGTAGCTGTGTTGTGATAAGGTGAAATAATCTTATTACACATGCGCTTTTTTTATTATTTTTAGAAAATGTTGACAATCGTGCAATGTATTTGAAGTCTGTTCGGAGTCCATTGTTAGGGCCTGGGAAGTATAAGTTACGTTACCAAGAAAACCCAGATATGGATGTCTTTTCCCAGGTGGCACCACAGGATGAAACGTATGCAGAGGATAGTTTTTGTGTTGCAAATGACCATGAAATAACTGGTATGTCTATATTTGATTTTCCCTAGGAACAAAGTTTGAGCAGGGATGTAAAAATGTAATCTTTGATAAACCAAATACCAGTTGTCATGTTTGGTTAAGATTTGAAGTGTTTTGCTAATGCCATTTGGGCATAGAAGTCTGCCCAAAGAGATTGCTTTTGAATTCAGAATTGACCTTTTTTCAGAAGAAATATTATTTCTGATCAGATCACTGAAGTACCATTTATCAGATTTGTGTCAAAATGTTAAGCTGATATCTTATATTATGGGCATAGAACCTCTAATTGAGAAGGAATTTCATGTCATGCATGGTGTGATTGGTGTCATGTAACATTTGGAGTATAAATTTTGACAAAAGACAATACTACTGCCTAATTTTGACAAAAGAAGACAATACTACATCCTGGTTTTGACAAAAGAAGACAATACTACTGCCTGATTTTGACAAAAGAAGACAATACTACTACCTGGTTTTGACAAAAAAAGACAATACTACTGCCCGGTTTTGACAAAAGAAGACAATACTACTACCTGGTTTTGACAAAAAAAGACAATACTACTGCCCGGTTTTGACAAAAGAAGACAATACTACTTCCTGATTTTGACAAAAAAAGACAATACTACTGCCCGGTTTTGACAAAAGAAGACAATACTACTTCCTGATTTTGACAAAAGAAGACAATACTACTGCCCGGTTTTGACAAAAGAAGACAATTTTACTCCCTGATTTTGACAAAAGAAGACAATACTACTGCCTGATTTTGACAAAAAAGACAATACTACTCCCTGGTTTTGATAAAAGAAGACAATACTTCTGCCTAATCTTGACAAAAGAAGACAATACTACTGCCTGATTTTGTTTTTGTACATTTTTTACTTCAAATGTTGACCCATTATCCAGGCTTACTATTTTTATGATATATTTTTGTTCACATAAAACATACTACAATTATGATATATTTAAAATGCAAGAATCATCCAATGTATAGCAGTAATCAATGTATCTGTTGCATTATTGTTACAATTTATTGGTATAAATTCCCAATATTTACTTTTAATCAGAAATGAATTATCTACTTTACTGACATTAGCTCTGTATCAAAAAGACAATAACCCAGTGCTAAATAATTAGCATAAACTCTTTTGCTATTCTTGCTATTCCAGATGTAATATCAGATCCTGACACCCCTAAAGTACTTGGGAAACGAAATAGAAAGAATACACGACTAGAGAATAAGTTTAGTAAACTCAAAGAGGCTAAAAATGTGAGACAACAGAAAAACAGGATTGTATATCAAGTGAACTCTTCAAGTGATGAGGAAGAAACGGCAGATGGAAATGATGGAATTGCCAGTACTAAAATGATGCCACCTATATCAAGAACAAATATTGCAAATATCAAGCCTGATTATGATGATTTCAAAATGCCATCTTTGATATCTAGATGTAGCAATAGGATGAAAAACGACAAGAAAAGTGAAAGCATGAGAAATGCATGTACTCTCACAAATAATAAATCTCACATTCAACCTCTGAATTCAATAAAAGACAAAAAAGCTGTGATAACCAATAAAGAACGTGAAGAAAGACTTAAGAAACAAAAAGAAGCTCAGGTAGCATTTCAGCAAAAGTATCGTGAAAAGCAAAGACTCTCTCAAGAGCAATCAGAAACATCAAAATGTGAAAATGTGGCTGTAAATTATATTGGAAGCACTAACACTGGAACTTGCCAGAGTATAACCAGAACATCACATAATATCACACAGACACAATCTGTCTACCAGACCCCTCTATTGACAGGCAGCATAACTAGCCCTGGGGTATGTTGACTTGTTTTAATTACCAAATTGTACTTGCATTTGATTTTAAAGCAATGTTGATATGAAGCATGTCTCTATAAATCCGAAGCTCTACATAACAGCATGTACCATTAATTTCAGACTGCATCAACAAGGAACAGGGACAAACCTCTTGTATTTGTTGACTCCAGGGAGCTTGCAAGCGGACAGGTAAATAGTAATCCACATCCACAAGTGTCAATTTGTTTTAACATAAATTCACTGTACACACCTTTTTATTACACACAATCAATTTAACTGAGTTAAAGCTTCATACAAAACATCATTATGTGCTAGTTGGTTAAAGTTTTGAAATCTAATTTTTTTTGTTTATGGTGTATGTAGGACATAGTGTCAGCTCTAAGGTGTGAACACAAGCTCAATGCAGTAGTTTGTCAACTAGTAGGCTGTGACTATATAGTCAGCAATAGAATGGGTATCGAGAGAAAGATATGGTCAGGTAAGGTTTACATGTGGCTATGAAAAGGTTTCATTAAGAGTTTCAACTTATTTTAGTGGCACATTTTTGCAAAGCAAGTGATACCCTTTGCATTTGTTCGATTTCACTTCTTAAGGAGAGCTACGTCTTCACTCTTCCAGTTTGCAATAAATCTCTGATCTCAACGAGCCAATCAGAATTTGTCATCGAAATATGGACGACTTTATATATGCTAATTTTCTCTGACATCACCGCATAGTTAATGAGCATGTATTTAGCACCTGTTCCTTCAACTTCACTGATTGGTTGAGAAAGGGTCAGCATAGTAGATTTGGAATCATTTATTACCAGTGCTGTCACAGCACCAATCTTTGGGGAGGGGCTGCTAAACTGTAATATAGTCTATGCTAGGCAGAGGGTAGTTTGTAACTAGACTGTGCATGCATGGTAATCAAGTGACCGAATATTGACTATACTAATAAATATAGATTACTTGTTATGTGTTTAGTTCTGATTAACTGTCAAGATTGACTAAAGATGCGGAGAAACTATATTTTAGCTTTCAATTTATTACATTTTTTTGTTTTATTGTTTTGTGAAATTTTTTACACACCTTTTTATATTTCTAGATTTTACAAATGGCTCTAACAAACAAAAGCTCGTTGATCGAATGTGCCATCTCTCTGAATTGTTTGAACGACCCGTCCTGATATTAGAAAAAGACAGGCTCAAACCTGGTGAAGAAAAACACACACGTCAGCTGTAAGTATACTTCTTATAAGATAATGTAAATTAAAGGTTTAATTAATCAATTTAAGATTATCAGATACTTCTTTTTACTTTTTGTGATTACTTAAGTAGTAGTTATTTATCTTTGTACCAAATGCCTTGTAATTTATGTCAAACAGTTCAAGTAATATTTATATTTCCTCTAAAAGAGGGAACATATTTTAAGATGTTCATTATAGTTGATAATGTATGAGGTAAGTGAAATCTCCAGCTAAATACAGTAAATGAATGTGTAAATATTTTATGTTTCCACTTTTCAAGAGGGGACATATTTAAAGATGGTTATTATGGTTGATAATGTATGAGGTAAGTGAAATCTCCAGCTAAATGCAGTAAAAGATATGTGTAAATATTTATGTTTCCAATCTGAGGGAACATAAGTAAGATGTTTTATTTTTTTCTAGTTACAAGGTAAGTGAACTCAAATGTAGCATAATGTTGCCAAAACGTTATCTAAATAATAGAAGGTACATGTCCTCTAAACATATCCAGGTTATATCTTGACATTTTTTAGATTTTCTAAATGAACTCCTCGGGGGCGTCATTCTAGGTGAAGTGCCCACTTCAACTTGTTATTGCATCCCCTTTTATATCCTGCCCACATCGCAATTTCTCTGACATTTTTTTTTTCTTTAACTTCAGCTATAAAGCTATAAATCAAAACATGAGATAAATCATTCATTTACTGTTGATTTGATTTGAAAACTATATTTATTCTGGGTAGCTCTATCAGTACAAAACTGGTCTTCCCAGAGGCCCAGTAATTATTGTATATACTAGTACTACACAAAGTACACAGTGTTTGAAATGTAAAATTTCTTTACCTTCTGTCATCTTAGATCTTCTTTTTATCGTTGCAAGCTTCTCCTCGCAGAGGTAGTCCACCATGGATTTGATCTTTAGCAATGGGAAGGTTGGCTGAAACCCTATGTACACAGCAAGTTCTTGCTGGAGCTGAAAAGCCAAGATTTATCTTTCATAATAATAGAAAAATTGTGGTGGTCGCAATAAGATAGCATCCAGTAGAGTTTATTTATTCATATAGATAAATTTTGAAGGCATTAAAGCATTACTTTGGGTTCAAGTGATTGATTTTTTGTGCTAACTCTGTTATAGTTCTAAATTCTAAACTAAATTCTCCAAATTAAATCTACGTCAATTTTCCAATTTTGCCCAATTCGCCAAATTAAATCACGCTAAATTAAGTTGACTTACAGTATTTATTCACAAATATTGTACTCGCATAATTAACATCTTTAAGTTTGGGAAATGACTGCAAGACAGTGTGCCTGTTCTTCATGGCAACTGACAAAGCATATTCGTTCTTCTCAGCCCTCCCAAAAAAAGAACAAACAAGATGTTGCAATCATTACAGACACCAATCACTGAATACAAAACTGGAAATGCCATTCTCTCAGATTATTTAGTAAACTTTATGTACTGACTTATATAATATAGTGGTTGAACCACTATGTTGCTTTAATGATGGAGTGCATTCAAAGTGAGGGAGAAAACTAAAAAATCAGGCAAATATTTGGAAATCATCAACATATTGACTTATAAATAAAACTGACCATCTGGTCATATCAAACTGGAGGTCAACATATTTCAAAGTTGTGTAATTGGTTAGTCTGCTAGTACTGTAGCACTCACATAAAGAATTCTCTGAGCCCTCTTCCCTGCTGTATCCCTAGGCACAGTTACAAGGACACAATTTACTTTTATGTCCCAATTCTCTGCAGACGTAACATCTCACTCTCACTAAACAATTTCACGCTTGATGATTTGTTTCTCCACAGCAGTAACAAGGGTTCTTTCTTTCTTTCATTTCTCAGGGAGATGATTGTTATGATACTTTTTATTGTTGACCTTCATAGTTAAATTTTTCAGTTTCTGAGTTCCAGGTGTGCTAGGGTGGATGTTATCTCTGTATAGATCTGGTCTTATCTTATTGTTTTGGTCTACAAAGACAACATCATTGTCTTTGTATATAATGTTTCTGTATTGCTTGGTGAGATGCTGTAACTTTTTGTTTGTTTCTCTTACTTTGATATCTACATTTACATCATTTTGAACTCATAGTACTCCACCAATCATGTTTATTCTTGTTCCATTAGCTCCATGCACTTCTCAGAAGAGTCACTATCAGACCTTATGTTATTAACCCCACAGTCTACGATGACTTCTGAGAACATTGTGTTGTCATATAGCATATCGCCAATCCTTCGATTTACATCTTGGATCCTATCTCCCGAGTTAGTTATTATCACATATATATTGTTGTCAATGTTCTGAACATTCTTTAATCTGGAATCACCGATCCACAAAACTTTTTTGGATGCTGTTGAGGTTTTGAGTGATGTTTGGGATGTTTCTACCTGAGTTTTGAATCCCTGATCTGGATTTTGTGTTTGTTCATATTCTTCAATTAATGGCTCAAATCGGTTTGAGGTTGATATCTGTGGTTGATAGATGGGACTGTTTTTCCGGCTCCATTGGTGGTGCTGTTGTTGTTTTAGGTGATGGTATTTCCATTGGTGGTGCTGTTGGGGTTTTTGGAGGGGCTAAATCAACCGGTGGTGCTGTTGGGGTTGGCATGTTTAGATATACATATAGATTTGTTGACTTAAGATGTAGTATAGATGGATCCATTGATTTCAGCTGAACATCTTGAAGCATGGCTCTGAGGTATCCATGCAGTTGATGGGATATTACTTGGAGGTCTTGTAAATTGATATCCTTGTCTCAACATCTGGGGAGGTGGTAGAGACATTATATGTGCCTCTATTAATTTTAGTTTATATTTCCTTTGTTTATAGTGTTATCTTGGTGATTTTTTGTCAACATGAAGTTGCACTACTTATATATCCATATTTTTTAAAAATTGTAGTTTTGTAATCTCTTAACAGAAAATTTCTGCTGTTAATGAGGAGCAACTTAAAACACTGCCACTGATTTCCTGTTATATATTTGTGAGATTCTAATTTTTCCTTTAATAAGATCTGAAAACTAACTAAAATTAAAGTCGTTGTTTGCAACTGTTCTTACTCAATGGCATTGCAAATTGAATTCCAAAGTAACTTTATTTCAGAAAAATAATCTCATAGATAAGCGCACGTGAATGGATTTATAGGACTGCCTTTTAACCATAGCCACTTTCCCGAATCTGTTTTGAGATGGAGCGTCAGATAGTCCTCTGAAGGACAACCTTCTGATGAAAACCTGTCTCACATGTTTATTGACTTTAATTGAACTTGTTAAGTTCAAAATACTATCAGTCACTTCTCTTATAAATTCTCTTCCAGTTAACTGGTTGCCTCCAATTTTTTTGCACCAATCCGCCCCACATTGCAGTCTTTTTATTGGCATAGGTCTGATGTATATCAAGAGCCATGGATGACTCGAAAGCCCCCAACCAGAGGTAGGGTTTTTCTTTGCACACCCTTCCATTTGGGAGGGGGTGGCGTGTGTACCTGGCACTCCTGAAATAAAACAAGACTCTTACCTGCCTGTTTTTGTATGAAGCCCCTGAAGAACTACAGGTACTAATCTTCTATGATTATTTGCCTTGAATCAAACATGGTAACTTGTCTAGTTGGATCATATTGCAACCTTTTTTTCATCTTTTCCCCAATCTATACAGCAGATCGATAATTTCATAAACATTGTTTTTATTATTTCCTGGTTTGAAATTCCAGGCACAATTAATCTTCAATTATTTCTCATTCTTGAGGTTAGGAGCTGGAAGAGACCACTCTTACTCGTAAATACTGAAAATATATCGAGGCTGGGTCTCTACAATTACCCCCTCAAAGAAAAAGATGATTTACCCCCAAACCACTCATTTGAAATAAAATAAAAATAATCATTTGAGAACTTATAAAGAGTCTTTTTATCAGCTGATAGACAATACAGTTTGTATATGGATTTCACAGTTTATAATCAAGATCAAGGTCCCCCAGCTGTTTTTAGTGGCCAGTTGCTTTGCAATCGCCCCATTAGAAGAAAGGGATTACCCAAGAGGGGAAACGGTGTTGGCTGGCTCGATTGGATCCACCTCCACATATGTTGCTGTCCCTACTTTCATCCCCAATATTGTTAGGGCTGCCTCACACATGTGTCATAAGATTTATTCATACACAAAATATGATATATATTCTATTACATACATATGTTTTTTGACATACGAACATCTGTTTTTGTAATACACCTTTTTAGTTTCTGTGCACTTAATTTTCCAGTACGTTACAATATACATAAACATACAGAAAATTATATCTCTAAATTTAGAGATAAACAATATGTGTATGTATTACATTACACTATTTTAACCGTTCACAGTGGAATTTCAGCAAAAATATTGTCCAGTTCGAAAAACTTTTCAGTTGGCACATTGTTTGTGTCTTCAATCGTAATGAATGCCATCATTTCTTCTGGGGTTAATGGCATATATACCTTATTGCCTACTTTCATGTTCTTGAGAAGTCCCAATTCACAGAGAATTTTTAGGGTGAGTCCACTCTTCACCATCATGTAATTTAGTTCTTTATAAGTTTTGATAAGCCCAAGGTGTTTGCAAAGTACCTGGTACTACCCCAGTAGCATATATAGCTCTTATTACCAGGTGTTTTATGCGAGTCCATGTATGCTGTATAGTATGTATGTATAGTTCGCATGAGTTGAGGAACTATTGCTTTGATGTAACCACTTTGAGAGATTTGAAGGTAGTCACATACCTCTTCTGTGACGTCACTATTTTGACTTGGTACAAGCTCTACTTCATAGAATTCTGCCATTAAAAAGAAAAAAAAGTAATCCTTTAACGTTTTTATCTGAAAATCACGAAAACGAGATTTAGCGATATTTCAAAATATATATGTAAAACACTTCTATTCAACAATTTGTCATCCATATATCTATCATAAACTCAACTCTGCCAGGGACCTACCTTCAGAATTATCATATACAGCGTA